CCCATTTCACCGTCCTCCCCCTGCGCCCCCTTCACTAGATATCAATCCACAGCCCTCACTCACAGGTGTCATTCCAAACGAGTGGCGGCGATCCAACGGACGCTCTGGCGTCGTTCTGCAATCCCAGCCACTCATCGTGGACAGGCTGCGGCGCACAGGAGCCGTTAGATTGCTGCACGAACCCTCGCTTGCACACGCACTCCGCTGCTCCCCCACGGAGATAGCAGGAGGAGTTTGCCGGGCAATTCCTCGCAGTGCACCGGTCTGGGGGAAGGAAGGTGAGGAATGGGGGAGAAGTTTGGAAGAAACGGGTGAGAAATGAATGCAGGACTTGTTGTTGAGCGCCATGCCGAATGAACATGGGCTTGCATACACACTCCGCTGCTCCCCCACGGAGGTAGCAGGAGGAGTTTGCTGGGCAATTTCTCGCAGTGCACCGGTCTGGGAGGGGGGTAAATGAGTGTAGGACGCTCGCACACACATTGCGATGTGACCCCATGGAGATTGCATGATGTTGGAGTGTGCCGCAAACACTGTGGGGTCACCGCGCAGTCCGCTCTGCTGCTGTTTGCTGCACACTTCGTGACCATGCACCGATCTCGGTCGAAGAATCAGCAAAATACTGGATATAGGATATATGATGGGTAGCTTGGGATATATGATGCGTATAGGATATACCATGCGCAGCTTGCGTATGACTCAATGAGTCCTATCATACTGTTCCTCCATGGCCTTAAAACTCATAGTGACAAAAATAATCAGATGGATAAAAAATTAATGTAAAAGACGACAATATCAATGCACGCACCAACGCAGTTGCCATTGACTCGCGTGAACCCCGGGCTGCATTGGCATGCGTGTGCGGTGTTGCTGTATGAGACACAAGTGGTGTTGGCAGGACATGAGATAACTGCACACGGGTTCCGGTCTGTAGAACGACACGAGAACAGGGAATTGGGAAAGAGGCAAAGACGAAAAGGCAAAGAATTTGAGATAGTTCAGTCTAGGCTGATTGAGGTGCTGACGTAGAAGATCCGTGTGGAGTTTTAGTCGTATTTTTCTGGCAGAACTCTCAACAAGTGCATGCGAGAACCTGTCTGAGCCACCTGTGATACGATAGCATGCGAGAACTTTGAAATCAACGCTTCAGTATCACCATGTTTTCTCACTGTATGAGCGTGCAATGTGTGAGCCTACTCAAAAGTGTAAACCTTTCTCAAAGTTTGAGAGCAACGCTGTCACACCATATGAGAATGTGATGTGCGTTTGGATTTAAGGCACCTTTGAGATGTAACGCTGTCACTCTCTCTCTCTCTCTCACCATATGAGCATGCGATGGAGGCTGCTGACAATCAGGACGCCAACGAAAACACATTGAATGAGAAACGATCCTTGTCTAACAACAACACTAGTAATAAAGTATGAAGCACGCATTTTCAGTTCGCTTTAGAGGTACGAGAACTCACCTAATGAAGCTCAGAGAAGAGGACGCATTCGATATAGTCGCAGGCCGCGGATTTCCCTTGGGTGTCCCCGCGCATTTCAACCCAGGGAAGAACCAGAGCGTGCTGCAGCTGACACGTGTCGCACTGGACGTCCTCGTGCTCCAAGCGATTTTTGCGGAGCCTATGGTTTTGGAGAAAGCGGAGGGGAGATTGTAGCATGCGACCTGCGGGTCTGGTCGGACGACGAACTCGCTGAGAGTAACTGGAGAGTTGAAGAAGCGCGGTTGGTTGTACAGCGTTATTTGAGTTGCTGGATAGAAACTTGCTGCTGCGGCAGCCTTTCCCGCCGAGATAAATAATATTGCGAGAAAGATGAGTGCGTGATCCATTTGGGAAGATGCAGTGCGAGTGAATGTACAATGCTGGAAGCAACGAGATGGTGGTGCTGTTACTATTAGTAGCAACCCAAATTCCCAAATTCAGTGAGATTTGGCACTGGGGTTGAGAGGGAGGGTTTTGTAGTTGCTTTGGGGCGAATTTGCAGCAGCAGATGTCTGAATTCGACAAATGCGGCTCGAGATACATTAGGAAGATCACGCGACGCGGTCGGTGGAATCAATCAGGTCCTCTTCGTCACACGAATAGACATGTCTCTTCGGTGAGTCATTCTGCTCCAATATGTGCTTATTTTATAAGTGTACAGCACATTACACGGAAAAGCGAATGACTTCGATTTGCATTCACTTTATTTGCAAGGCTAAGGCTACGAGAAAGCACAGGGCCCACCTATGTGGATGATAGCCCCGCTGCCCAAACACATTGATTCTTGATTTTGATAAACCCCTTTCTGCAGAGGCACATATGCGACGTTCCTTGGGCTGAGTCGCACACCGAATGTGCAGGGCAGCCGTAGAGTGAGCAGGGATTAGGTGCTGCAAGAAACGAAGAAAACACGAGCATGTAAGCCGTTGTAGCACATAAACAAGTGCATCGATACTGTTTACGTCCATACTAGAACCCACATGACATCCTTATGCAAGGAAGACTGGGAGCTGAGCATGAAATAGGAGCTGGGATGGACTTACTGTAGGAGCAGCCGACAGAAGCCACTGACGCTAGTGGCCCACGCACGTTCCTGTAACGAAGGAAGAGACATTAAACAAGATAAACGCGTTAGACGGCCAAAATGTTCCAGCAGAAGAAGGGCTGAACTTTTGGAATACATTCAATGATTTGCTTTACCAATGCGTTTCAACTTTCACCAAAAGCAAATCTCTCATTTCATCCCGCCCCCCCCCCCCCCCCCCCCCCGCGGGTCGCTACGTGCGGAACCAGCGGAATTGAATAAACGAAACGGGAAGGAGCGGCTCACTTTTTCACGGTGAACCCGTAGCTGTAGTTGCGCGGACTCGCGTGCTGCGGACCGTCCGGGAGCTCGATCCCCGTCGCGACGCCCGCGCATTGCGATTCCGAAAAGAACCACACCGTGTTACACATCATGTGCCGTTTCGTGTGGTCGCGGGTGTTCCACGTAATCATCAGCGAGCCGACGCGGCCGACCAGCTCCTCGGGAAGATCGTGGCACGGCGCGCGCGGGTCGGGTCGAATGGCGTGGTAGACGGTGAACTCGCTATAGCGAAAGTCTTTACTGTCGTATAAGCTGATGAGTGTACCCTGACTCACATCCTCGTCGGCTAATATTGTGACGGGAAGAAGGGAAAGCAAAGCGAAGGCGATGATGATAAGATGGAGTAATCTCGACCTCGATTCCATGGCTGTCGGGATTCAATTTGCTCGACGCTTCAAGAAATGACGAAGCGGTCGTAATTTGACTCCGGAAAACTTCTAATGATGATCCCAAGTGCGGCTCGAAAAAAAAAAACGAGATTATGTATATCGCAGTTAATTTAGGGTCTTCAAGTCGACAGAATAGGCTGGCCTTGCCAATTGCTGCTTGGTGGAAGTGGAGTGGTGTGACGAGACGACAAGAATATGCGGATGATCGAGCTGCTCGTGGTTTATTAGTGCTTGCGACAAGTGAGGCCATGGCTGTTCTAGTGTTCACTGAAACAACACATCTGGGCTGGATTCTGGATGGATGCTTGAAGCACTCCGGTTTGGAGTAGAGAAAGAAGCTTCTTGATGGGTTAATTGCGGTATCAGATCAGAGCGAAATGTGCTGCTTTCATGCAGAATTGTTCGGCTGGCGCCTGCGCCGCGACGACTGACCAGCTGTGAGGGTGCCGTGTGGGTTGACGCAAGTGTGTGTGTGTGGGGCCACATGCGAGACCGCCCGGTTTCTGGTGTCCTCGGATCGCGCCATTGAAACCCAGTGGGCAAGTGTGAACTACATCCTCGTTAACAGAAAGGTCGCCATTTGATCGATGGTGATAAACTATAAAAAAACGACACACGACTATAGATTAATAGCCAAGTTGCAAATTTCAGCTCTCAACGAGAATGGTCATCCTCAAGCCCATTAGAAGAATATGGTATAGTAACTGCAAGCTGAACCACGTCCACTAGTTAGGTGTCACAGTTACAAGGCCGTCTAATTACCTACGTTATTACGCTCCTAAAACCCCATATTGGGAGAACATACTCTATGGTCCGTTGCTGACCATTGATCAACTAAGCTATCTCCATGGGCAGGAGGGTGGCACGCTCTGTACTGCTGCGGCAGTCACTCCGCAGACATAAGTTCTGCATCAGGTGCACGTGCTGACACACTTGATTGGTTAAAGCCCGCGTCCCAAATTGCGGGCCGCGAGGGTCAAGTTTTTAAAACTTGACGAAGTTGAGTGTCCAAGCTTTTGAAAGTCACGCACTTGCAATTTGGGACTTTCGAAGACAGATTCACTCACCAGGGGGAAAACCGAGGGTTGGCTGGGTCTCGCGAAAAAAACGAACCCAGACGAAATCGGAAACTCTCGCCAAAGCCCACACCAGAAAAACCCCCTCTGGTCAACTTTTAAAAGCATGAACAATTTGGGCCGCCGGCTTTAAATTAGTTGCAGCTGCCCACCTGCTGCTCCTGCCAGCCCATTGCTGCTGCCACTGCCGCTGCCACCACTCCTAAACGCGGCGCAGACCCACCAATTCTGCCTTGCTCTATATCCGCTTCCAGTAGGTTTCCTACTCCTACTTATCTCCTACTGTTCTAGTGTTCTACACCTGCTGATGCTCCCCCTGTTCTGTAGCTGCTCCCACTGCTGCTGCTGCTGCACTTCATGAGTCAGATTAGGTAAGACTCCTCACTTGCCCACTGCTCCCATCAACACCAGCAGCAGCAGGGGGAGGTTCTAAGTACAGGTTGCAGTGCTGTGCAAATGCGCCTTACAGTGCCGTGCAGATGCGCCAATTGGAGGAACCTGCTGCTGCTTTCGCTGCTACCACTGCTTCCATTAAACATGCAGATATGTTTCTGCAGACCATGTTCCCATGCCGTTGTAATGTGCCTGAATGGATGCACCTGCCGCTGCTGTTCCCAGTGCTTCGATCCTCTCCTGCTACCGCTCCTCCAATCGAGATCGCCCAATCAAACTGCTCGGTTCCTTAAGAACATGTTTCTGCAGCTGCAGCAGGGGCCTCAGCCGTGGCATTGGCTGCTGCTCGCTGGTGGTACCGCCGGGAAAACACCTCCACCAGTGAGTGTATAATCTCCTCCTCAGATACGACCTGGAAACGGAGGGTGGCAGGTCAGGGAAGGAAGGAGGGCAAGGACAATAGAATAAGGCCAGGCACCAAACAAATCCGCCATTTTCCAGTCCAGTGGAATCTTGCGGACACAGTAGATAGGCATTGAGCGATGAAGTGAAGTGAGACATAGTAGATGCTTTAGAAAAAAACGCCCTTCTGCCAGTAGAATAGATCGCATAACATACTTGGGCCTCTTGTTTAATAAATTTTACTTGGTTCCCATCTGATTGTACGGACTATACACTGACTGCAACTCAGGGGACGTACCAGACTCGCGAAGTGCTGTGCCACTGCCAGCTTGAGCTCCTCCTGTTGGAGGGATGTCAGGGGTGAGAGAGGAAGGGAGAGAGAGAGTGAAACGGGAGGAGTGGGGTGGGAGGGGAGGAGAAGCATAAGGGCAGAGCCAATACTAGTGCAACATGCTGTGCCACTCCAAGCTTGAGATGTCAGGGGTGAGAGAGGGGGGGGAGGAAGACCTCAATCCCATAATCCAGTCTCCCCCCCCCCCCCCCCCTCTCGTGTGGGAAAAAGAACCCACCTTGCCAGATGACGCGTCTCGGAGCTTGTACACTCGCTTGTAGCGCCGCAGCGAGCTCGTCTGCAGCTTGGACAGGTCGACCTTGAGCGGCTTGGCGCTGCTGCCTTGCACTCTCTTGCTGCTCCGAGGCAGCACAGACCCTGCCACCGCAGCTGCTGCTGCTCCTGCTGCTGCTCCAGGAGATTTCTTCCATCCATACTCGCTGTTATCATACTCGTTACTGTTATCTTGGCTGTTATTGCTGTGGTGGCCACTGCTAGACGATTTTCGATTCCGTTCCCTCTCGCCCTCTTCTCCCTCCACTTCTCCAGCTCCCTTGTCGTCTGTTGTATCCGTAGGGTCAATCTGGTCAATGTGGTCAACGGGGTGGATCCGCTGGTCAATGGCAAGCTCGGGCTTTGACTGGTCAATGCGGTCAACGCGGTTAGCTGAGTCAGCATGGTCGCCAGGGGTTGAATCGCTTGAGGGGTTTGGGGAGTGCAACGAGTCCTGCAGTCCCTGGGGCGGGGCGGGGGAAGGAGAACAGGCGAAGATACATTAGGTGGGGGAACCGATTGTTGAGGCGCCTCAAGAGTCACCAGGGGTTGAGTCACTCGAGGGGTTTGGGGAGTGCAACGAGTCCTGCAATCCCTGGGGTGAGGGGGAGGGGAACGGGCGGAGACAAATTAGGTGTGCCTGAAAGAGAGGAAATCTAAACAGAGAAGGCGGGTGATTGGCGAGGATCGGGTTTGTTTTGAGAGGGGGAGGACTAGGGAGGTGAGAGGCTGGGGGCGGTGGAGGAGGGATGGCTGGTATTCTTCGAGGCGGGTGGTTGTGGGCAAAACGGGTGCTTACCGGGAAAGTGTCGCTGTCAGTGTCGTTACAGCTGCCATGCTGTGCACTCCCCCCTTCGTCACTCTTCACCGCCTCCCCCTCCCCATCCCCCGCTCCTCCTCCCCTCCCCGCAACCCCCTTAAACAGCACCTTCACACTGCCACTCCCCCTTCCGCCCCCCGCCCCTTTCCTCCCACCTCCCCCCGCTCCATCTCCCCCTGCCCCTCCCTCTCCCCCTCCTGCTCCCCCTGCTCCCCCTGCGGTACCCTGGCCTCTTCCTGATAGCGGGGATGCGGGGGATGCAGCAACAGCAGCCACAGCCGCCGCCGCAGCAGCAGCAAGCAGGCTGTTCCGACCAGAAACCCCACCAGCAGCAGCAGCGCCACCGCCGCTGGATTGCCTACTCTTCCGCCGCCCACTAGGAACCGAACCCCCTCCGCCTCCCCCTCCGCCCGCCCCTCCCCCGAACAGTATCCGCCCAGGGGAACCGGCCACCCCGCCCTTATCCGCACCTCCTCCGCTTCCCCCTCTTCCCCCTCGGTCCTTCTCTCCCCCGGTTGCGCCGCCCGCTTCCGCGGCAGCTGCTGCGGCCTGCGCGATCGCCAGGCGATCCGCCGCGTTGTGGCGGCCCAAGCGACGGCGGTCGTTGGAGTCGGAGTGCTGGATACGGGTGAGAAGGGAGAGGGGAACGTGAAGGGAGCCATAGGATACGGGTGAGAAGGAAGAGGGGAACGTGAAGGGAGCAAATCTGTTTTTAGAGAATTCTCAAAAGAAAAAGGCGGTCGTTGGAGTCGGAGTGCTGGATACGGGTGAGGAGGGAGTGGGGAACGTGAAGGAGGCGATGTGATGTGGGTGGGAAGGGAGTGATGGAAGAAGGGAGCGGAAGGGGGGAGCGGGTAAGGAGGGGGATGAGGTACACTGAGGTAACCCGCGCGTTGTGGATCAAAGTGCTGGACTGTGGGATAGGGCGACGAGTGCGTGATATAGGTAATCCCGTACCTTGCCCGCGTCGCGACATCCCGGGCATTGGTAGGATCGACGGTCGATCTTGGAGACGTCGATTCCGTACTCCATCTCGCACTCCTCGTGCGACCAACGGCGACAGTTGCGATTGGTGCAGCCGATCCACTGAGAGGTGAGGGATAGTTGGAGGAAGGGGAATCGAGAACCACGAATGAGAACCATCAACGAGAGCTATCAATTAGAACCACCAATCAGAACCACCTATCACAACCGTCAGTGCTCTTACTGCTGCTGAGAGATACTGTTGCAATGCAGAGGGACAGATGGACGAAGTTTTACGACTGAGGAATATGATTGGACGTGCGGAACGGAAGGAAGGGTCGCGGGAACTAAGGGGGAATCAAGGACAGATGGACCATGAACGCTGACATTGGCGACTAAGAAAGACATTCATGCCGGAAACGCACTTGCTTCTTGTCGAAGCTGTCTGGATCCCTCTCGCGATAGATCTGAGCGCAGAAGGGACAGTTGCATATTGATGCACATTCGCAGATTGATACAGCCAGACGCGGTTGCATGATTGTCTTCCGGCACTGGGAATATCGCAAGGCGTTGGGCTGTTCCCAAGGGGAATTTTAGGTTCTGTACTGTTTTCCAACTTTGGGAGTATCAGCGCGGCGCGGTACAAACACCCGGCACCGGGAACACCGCAAGGCGGTTCGGGACGGATTCCCGGACTATCCAAATTTCTCAAGGCAACCCGGCATTGGGAATACCGCGAGGCAGTCAGAACTTGGAAACACTCCCAAGCTTGAGAATATCGAAGGAAGCCTGGGAAACAATAGGACTTTCTGATAGTTCGACGAACCTGGTCGAAATTGATCTTGCACGCGTTACATAGGGTAACATTTACGGGATCGTCTTCGCTGCCGTAGTTTCGAACGTGCCAGCGGCAAGTCCTGCGGAATGGGAAAGGGTATTCGGGTTGGTGGAATAGGAGTTAATTAGCATTAATAAATATGAAAAAGGTCGGGCATGTGTTAGGAAGAAACACATAGGAAGAAATGACGAATACCACTGGCAATGGTGGGGTTGAGGCAAAGGTTACGACAGAGTTTAGGTTTCGTACGGTCCGTCGCCGGGCGACGTTCTGCGACAGAAGTTGTTGGAGCACATCACCACCGCCTTATTCTTCCAGCTCTGCATCTTTCGCAGCTTTCCTGGCGACCCCCCTCCGAAATCTGAGCCCGCCGTGACCCCCGCCGCCGCCGTCGCTGCCGCTGCTGCCGCTGCCGCTGCCAGCGTGCTGCAGCCGCCGTTGCCGCTCGCGGCTCGCAGCAGAGCCGGCCGCAAATGTCCCTGCGCCGTGTTGACTGACGGAAAAATATGTTTTGATTGGAGGTCACCGTTAACAGAACGTCAATATCAAAGAAAGTGACTGCTTGCGTTAGGCCTCTGCGTGCAGAGGCTGCGGTGAGAAGGACGCTGAGCCACTATCACGTTTCAGTCCACAACAGCCGTCTCCGAACAACAGGAGGAACCGCTCCTTCACAGCTATCATTCCTCGACCCCCATCTAACTCCGACCGCAACACCCAGGGGTAGTGACAGAGAAGCCGGATATCGAGTGACTCTTAGCCGAAGCACGGAATTCGCGAGCGTCACGCGTTCTCCCTAAGCGAGGTCGTCTCTGCACAAAGGGGAAGGATGAATAAGGCAATACAGCTGCACGGATTAGAACCTTCGCCGTTTTCACACTCCAACGGCAGAAAATAGAAGAGAGAATAACTGTTACGAATAAAAGCTTAAAGCGTGGAAGCTCGTAGATGGGGCAGATTCACGAAACACGCACAGTAGCAGGATGGAAAACTCGGCTAAGCAAACTGACATCCGCTAGGCGGCTTTATGGACTTCAGAACAAATATGGGAGCTAAGAGGTACTAGTGCTTCCTATTTTGTGAAATGCGAGGCGATTATACGCGGCGAAATCTTCCAAATACGATTCTAGTAGCTTATCGTCATCGTTAGGCTCATGCGGAACCAACATGGAAACCAGCATGAAGAAGGGAGTGTGCGATTAAAGCCTTCAGCTTGCGGTGCCGGCTAAGAACGCGATTAGGCACTTAAGCGCGGGAGTGCGAGACTCGTATGTAGAGATTCTCGGCGTTAGCTCTACCAGACAACGGAACGCCGCGGTCCGCGGATGGAGATAAGGCTGGGCTATACCGGGCTAAAAGCTTAGTCTGGAACCCTTACCTGAATGCGGGCAAGGAACACGCTACGCCGGGAAGGATCTCAGCACATATTGGTAGGAAAGAGAATTCGCGCTGACTATACTGGCAGGTCGCCAGCAATGGGAGGTGAAGTAGGAATTCGCATAATAAATTCTGTACTCTTGAATCTGGCCTGCGTGGTTCTGCTTGAGCGAATCTGAAATTTGGAAAGTCGGGGAGGGCTGCAAGCGAGGCGAGGCGATTGCCACCTACACGAGGAATGCGGGAGACTCTTCAGATTTCTAGGGAAACCAAGAGGGCAACGGGTTGATGGGGCTGGTTGGAAGGGCATGGGCAGGGTGTGACCTCGCCACGCCACCATCCAGTCGTCTCCTCACCCTTGTCCTTTTTCATCTCATTCATGCCGCACCGCATTCACTCCAAATTCAAGTTTGCATCATCCCAGCTTCAGCCAAACCCTCTACTAGCTGGGCCGAAGCAATCTCTCCCTGCTGATGACTGGGCAAGCAGCACACCCATCACACAATGACGAAGGGATCAGACAGAGTAGGATTCACACGGCACACGGTGGAATGATGTGAGGCTGTCCCTATTACTCACTGTACCGTTTTAAATTGTAGACAAATCGCTTGAGAACGAACAGCAATCCCTGAATCGCACTAAGACCTTCGGGGGAGTCCGGAGTATATTCCAATGGCGGGCGAGAGGGAATCCCCAAACCAATCGCTCCCAACGTACAGCAACAAGCACCGAACTTTTTCCAAACCGACGTGCCAAACCATCATTCAGACGTTCGAATTTCCGCCTCTTTCGCCTTTCGCGCAATTTTTGGTTCGGCACCCAAGAAAGTGTTGGTCTGGTAAAACACTTCCCGACCGAATCCAAACCAGCCCAGCAAACGCGGTTCGTCACGCCGTTCTAACGAAGCGCGCCAGGTTGTTGAGAGGCCCAGGCGAGGCGCAGGGGCCAACGGACGAAATGTCTCTATTTCGCGAGAATATGTCGGGCACGTGCGACAATACATTGGTGTGTGATGGGAATTGCGAGACACAAATGCGAGATTAGCGGGAATTCGCGTATGCATCCGACGTGCGTCGCAATCGGAAAACGACAATAGCGTGACCGTGCAGGTGTCGTCAAAGGCGAGAGAATCCGTCAATGGGCCCGCACGACCGAGCCTGCGGACGCAAAACGGTAGGTCGACGACGGTGGTGGCTTGCGTTACTGTTCTGTAACGGGTTTCGTTCAGTTTGGGAAAGTCCGCACGCAGTCAATGCAAACGCCAGCGCAGGCAAATCCACCGTGCGAACACGAGCCCCGCGACTGAAACGCACCTTCTCGTTACAGAGCGCTTCACACGAAAACAAATTAATATTTGCAATCAAAGCGGAGATGTGCTTATCGAAAAAGTCCTTACAAGAAAGTCATCTCCACTACATTCCCAAACCTAGAAACCTTCTGTCGAGCAAGGTCTAGCGCCCTTACACATCCTTACTAACATCTCCGTGACTAACGCAGGCGCTAATTCAATTCGTCACTCCCCTTTCTTGAATATTCACGATGTCGGACGACACTGAGACTAACGATGTCCCTAAGGACGCGTCGCGCGACATGCAGCAGCAGAGTCGCGCCCTAGATTCCATCACCGACCATGTGGAGGAGCGACAACTAGATTCGCGCCGAGTCCAAGAGGTACACGCGGCCCGTTGATTAAGTTTTTTCGCAGCTCTCAGAGTTTCCGCACCATGTTAACTAAGTTACGCTTAGATTCCAGAAGGTTGCTCGCCGACTTGAAGGGGATTATGGCGGAGCACTTGTGAGGCACAAGGGGTATCGTACGAAATGAATTCGGACTGGTATAAAAAGTCAGCATGGTGTATATGGCTAGCCGAACAGGCGGGCGTTGGCCTAGGGTTTCAGACGACGACTTGAATGGTTCAGGGTTTCGCGCATTTGGCAAGACAGCCTCTTCCGCGAATGCACCATTGCACTCGCAGACGCTTTGTCGCTTTCTTGGCAGCTTCCAGGTCCTTTCGGAGGAAAATTCTGGGATGAGGGAGCAGTGAATAGCCAAAGCGGACCATGCTAGTTCGCATTGCCTGGCCCTCAGCAGGATCTGTCAGTCGAAGTTTTGAGACGTCTCAAGACCCTCGGCAGGCTCTGTCAGTCAGCCCTAGTCCTCAGACATCTCAAATCTATCAGCATGCCCTGCGCTGCTGCCAGTCTCCTTTCCCCTCCTACGGTTTGCACGCCTGTTCTGAGGCGCCGCAAGAATCGGCTCCGCACGACCTGCACTGCCGTCGGTCTTGTTGCCTTCCTGATTTGTCCTGCTGACACTCGTTATTTTGTCGGTGCAGGCCATGGCGTCGATTGCGGCGTCATCTGCGGCGGACAGGGAGGCTCAACGCGCCAGGTACGACCTTAAACCATGGATTACGATGAGTGTACTTTGCATCAGTCGAATCACAGGGTGTATACGGACCTACCTAAACTCTTCACGATGCGGAGCCTCACACACACAGGGTGTGAGGGAGGCTCTACATTGTGCTTGATCTGCTGGGAGGAGCAGCTGATGTAATTGGGTCAGAATTGCTTTTAACGTTGGTTGTATCTGATGCCCATGGTTTGCTATGCGTGGGATGTTGGGCATTGCACGGAGAAGGAGCTGATTGCGTGAAGGGATGAAACGGCTGGAACTTATGTGGTTGTGTTAAATAGAATTGCACGTTGCATGGGTTGCATCAGATCTCCTTTGTCTGCTTTGCATGGCATGTTGGTTGGGTTGGCATTGCAGGGAGAAAGAGCTAGCTGCTGTGAAGGTTTCAGACTCGCCTCAGAAGTCGACCTTTGCCCTTTGTTTGCTTTGCGTGGTATGTTGGCTGGTTGGCATTGCAGGGAAAAGGAGCTGGCTGCAGTGAAGATTGATTCAGTACATATTGATGTGATTGCTTCAGAGATGGAGGTAAGTTGCCATCATCTCTTGTAGGTTGTTTGGCTGCTTCCTTCGTTGTTTTCCGCATCCTGACTAAGTACCCCAGTACCTCTCTCGTATTCCCATATTAGTTTTGTATTGTGTCGGTTTAATGTGCTGTTGCTCAACTGTGGTTTGTCTTTCCTGTCTGTATTCAGGTTGACAAGAAGATTGCAGAGAGAAGGCTACGGGAACACCAAGGGGATCCTGTCGCTGCTCTAAGGTCGTTCTTGCATTGAGGAAGTTACAGTTGCGGGATCATTTTGGCTCAGATGAAAAGCTATGTTGTTCATGTCTAGCATCAAATTGGGCAAATGTTTCGTTTGTCAGCTTTATACATGCACCACCTTGTAGCGAGTCATCCTAAGTTCTGGAGATGGGAGGTTCCGTGACCCGTCACACATACGCCACGACTATTCGTACAATTGTCAAGATGTGCCCTATCTCCAGAATTCGCGTCGCAGACACATTGCATGTCCCCAAGTGGTCGCACGGTATTCGTGCGACTAATTATCGCAGCTGCGACCCTGCTAGTAATTGTGGTCGCGTGAGGTTAGGGCGACCGAAAAAGGTTCCGTAGGTTGTATTTGCGCCGCGCGTCACTTCGCGGTGCGCGAGTTGGGCCCTCTTGAGCGAAATAACGCGCGGGAGAGGGCCAGCCTTACCCCGCCCGCCACCTCCCACCTTGTAACGATTGTTACCACTTTGCGCCAGAGAAGAGGGTCAGCCGTTGTACGGCTTTCGCGGATGGGGAACGTCAACGTCAAGGTTAGTGGGGCCGGCCGTTGTAACACACGGAAACGGTCAATTCTTTAGCGCCGCGTTAGGACTCCGTTCGCTATCAATCGGTCTGCTTAGCCCCCTCCTTTTCTTTCTCGTCACTTCTTTTCATCCTCCTACTTGGTTCTCTGCAGTCCCCTGTGCGTTTTCATTCTCGTATCATCCTTCTATCCTCATCTCGCCCTCCTCCTTTCCTCCCCTCATCCTCTTCCCCCACGTCACCAGGACGGGCTAGACTCTGTGGATCTCTCTGGCCTCTCTCCCTCGGGAATGCTGATATTCTTTTTCATCATTTACCTCTCGCCTTTCCCTTTCCTCCTCTCCTCCTCTTCCTCCTCGTCACCAGGACGGGCTAGACTCTGTGGGTCTCTCCGGCCTCTCCCTCGGGAATGCCGCGCTGGGTGGGGGGAGGGCGGCGGCGAGCGCACAGCGCGCAGCCAACTGGAAGGCCACCGGGATCATCGCCCTCAGGGACGCGCATCTGAAGGTGAGTGGGGAGGGCGCATGCTAAGCATGCGTGGCACGCTAGGATTGGTGCTCAGCGCGCAGCCAACTGGAAGGCCACGGGGATTGTCGCCCTCAGGGACGCGCATCTGAAGGTGAGTGATGGGGGAGGCAGTACTTTTCGTCCTTGTACTGGGCATGCTAGCTCTATCGCTCAGCGCGCAGCCAACTGGAAGGCCACGGGGATTGTCGCCCTCAGGGACGCGCATCTGAAGGTGAGTGGAGGGTAGGTATGGTAGGCATGGTAGGCATAGTAGGTATGGTAGGTAGGGTAGGTATGGTAGGCATGGTAGGCATGGTAGCATACTCCCTCCTTTCTTTTGTTCCCCGCGTCTCACTCTTATTTGGCTCTCTCCATGCTTCCCACCAGTCCATCCCTGATGCATTGTTTGAAGTACCGGCCTTCGTTTTCGCCCAAATTCAGTTTTTCGCCCTGATTCTGCCCTTTATCCTTCTTCCTACTCCATTCCGCCTCGTCGTTCCCCTCCATGCTTCCCACCAGTCCATCCCTGATGCAGTCTTTTAAGCAGCGGGCTTAGCACTCACTCATCCTTTCGCCCCTGCTCGCCCTTTTTTATCCTGCTTCCTTCCCCCCCTTCCCCCTCTCTCCCTCCCCTCCCCCTCCTCTCCCTCTTTTCTTCCCACCAGTCCATCCCTGATGCAGTCTTTGAAGCAGCGGGCTCGGCACGCACTCTAGACGCGTCCAATAACAGAATAGGTACTTACATGTTTATACATCAATGGTAACCAGATGGGAGTTAATCGCATGGTAACCACATGGTAAGTAATCATACGGTAACCACATGGTAGGTAATCGCATGGTAACCACATGGTAGGTAATCATACGGTAACCACATGGTAGGTAATCATACGGTAACCACATGGCAGGTAATCATACGGTAACCACAATCAAACCTGTTTTTTCCCATCAAGCAACTATATTCCGGTTCTGCTTCTGCATCATTTAAATCATTACTCTTCTGTATCTGCTTCTGAGGCACTTTCATCTGCCTCACTTCTCGCCTCTCACTCACTCCTTCATCGTCTGCTTTAGGTGCTTACTCTGTTGCCCCAAAACTCTACACCCAAAGTTCAGCTGCTGGCAGTTTGAATAGCCCCCTCTCACTGTCCTCTCGCCTGCAGAGTCAAGCGTCTGTATCTCCATTCTTTCTTTGCATCGCCCATACCAGTAACATCACACTCCTTCCCATTCCTGCCTCCTCCATCCCCGCTCAATCTCAACCGTGCAGTTGAGATCCCCGAAGCGATCGGACGGCTGACATCGCTGCAGCGGCTGGTACTCCCCACCAATCGCATCGAGCGCCTGCCTGCTTCCATTGGCCTGCTTACATCCCTCAAGGCTCTTCAGTTAGAGAGCAACCGATTGACAGAGCTGCCAAACGAAAGTGAGTTGGAGGTGTGGTAAGGTTCAGAGGGGCGCTTGCCTGCTTCCATCGGCCTGCTCTCCTCCCTCAAGGCTCTTCAGCTGGAGAACAACCTATTGACAGAGCTGCCAGATGCGAGTAAGCGCTACGACCAGTGGTTCAAAGGAGTTCGAAGGAGTAGGAAGGAGTTGTGATGAGTGCTGGAAGAGTGATCAGGTTCCTTCAGAAGGGTGCCTGCCTGCTTCCATCGGCCTGCTCACGTCCCTCAAAGCTCTTCAGCTGGAGAACAACCGATTGACAGAGCTGCCAATTGAAAGTGAGAAATGTCAGGGGTAGGAAGGAGTAGGAGGGGGTTTTAACTCTCCCTCAAGGCCCTCAGGGGTTTCGTCTGATCACTCATCTAGACAGCAATTTACAAAAGCTGCCAAACGAAAGTGTGCCTTGTTACCAGTGGTTAGAAGGAGTGGGACGGAGCTGGAGGGGGTAGGGAGGAGTTCTGGTGTGCTGGAGGCGTGATAATGTGTAATCAGGTTCTGGACAGGACAGCTAGAGAGCAACCGATTGACAGAGCTGCCTGTTAAAAAATGAGCACTTCTAACCAAAATTGAGCTGCCTAGTTGGAAGGAGTATGGGGAATTTGGAGAGGGAGTAGCAGTTTCCTACCATCCCCGCACCCCCAATCCCTTCTCCCAGTCGGCTCGTTGTCTCGCTTGGAGCGTCTATCCCTCGCCCGCAACAAGCTAGAGCACCTGTGCCAGAATAAATTGACAGTCGCGCCTCCCCATCCTCCCACTCTGCTTCCCCTACCATCCCCGCACCCCCCATCCCCTCTCCCAGTTGGCTCGTTGTCTCGCTTGGAGCGTCTATCCCTCGCCAGCAACAAGCTTCAGCACCTGCCAGACTCCATTGGCCAGCTTACTGCTGTACTTGCTCACACCCACTTGACACCAAAACTGCCTTTGCCCATCAGCCATGTGCGCAGACCCCAATGCCACAATACGCAAAAACTGCTAGCACCCAATTTGTCTGTCCAATATATATATATATATATATATATATATATATATATATTTGGGTGCATAAAGCATCTTGAAGCACCCCAGGTTTCTGCCTCACCTCATCAGCATTCTGGTCAATCTCCCCAACCCTAACGTTGTTCTTTGGCATCTCTCTTCCATCAATCTCCCATCGCCTGTCTCTTCAACGTGCATTGAGGTGTATTTTGAGGCGCCTCAAAATACACCTTTGGCATCTCTCTTCCATCAATCTCCCATCGCCTGTCTCTTCAACGTGCATTGAGGTGTATTTTGAGACGCCTCAAAATACACCTTTGGCATCTCTCTTCCATCAATCTCCCATCGCCTGTCCCTTCAACGTGCATTGAGGTGTATTTTGAGGCGCCTCAAAATACACCTTTGGCATCTCTCTTCCATCAATCTCCCATCGCCTGTCTCTTCAACGTGCATTGAGGTGTATTTTGAGGCGCCTCAAAATACACCTTTGGCATCTCTCTTCCATCAATCTCCCATCGCCTGTCCCTTCAACGTGCATTGAGGTGTATTTTGAGGCGCCTCAAAATACACCTTTGGCATCTCTCTTCCGTCAATCTCCCATCGCCTGTCTCTTCAACGTGCATTGAGGTGTATTTTGAGGCGCCTCAAAATACACCTTTGGCATCTCTCTTCCATCAACCTCCCATCGCCTGTCTCTTCAACGTGCATTGAGGTGTATTTTGAGGCGCCTCAAAATACACCTTTGGCATCTCTCTTCCATCAATCTCCCATCGCCTGTCTCTTCAACCGATTTATCACCGCCTGCCATTCTATTCCATTAGTCCGCCCTCGCCCCTTACTCCCATAAAATCCCCTTTGCAGTTGAACACTCTAGATGTCTCGTATGTTGAAATCACTTATAAGAATTCTCAAAAGTGATGTACCCTTTGCAGTTGAACACTCTAGATGTCTCGTATGTTGAAATCACTTATAAGAATTCTCAAAAGTGATGTACCCTTTGCAGTTGAACACTCTAGATGTCTCGTATGTTGAAATCACTTATAAGAATTCTCAAAAGTGATGTACCCTTTGCAGTTGATCACTCTAGACGTCTCGTGGAACTTCATCCGCCTCACTCCCTCCCGTCCATCCTCCTCCTTCCTCTCTCCCAACAATCCCCCATTCCAGTTGATCACTCTAGATGTCTCTTCCAACTGTCTCTCCAGCCTCCCACCCACCCACCAACCCCTCCCCCCCACGCCCCCTCCCGCCTTTCCTGTCCCTCCATTGCCCTCTCTCCCCTCTCTCCCAACAATCCCCCATCGCAGCTGGTCACACTAGATGTCTCTTCCAACTGCCTCTCCAGCCTCCCACCACTGGTACCGGCTTTCCTCTTCAAGTTTTGAGGCACCTCAAAATCCTTCCCGTCGCCCCTCTCACCCATACCTTCCCGTCGCCCCTCTCACCCATACCTTCCCTCCATCGCAGCTGGTCACACTAGACGTCTCTTCCAACTGTCTCTCCAGCCTCCCACCCACCATTGGTTGCTGCTCCACACTTCAAGTTTTGAGGCACCTGAAAACTCTTCACCCCCGCAACCCTCTCTCCCATAACTTTCCCTCTTGCCAGTTGGTCGCTCTAGACGTCTCTTCCAACTGTCTCTCCAGCCTCCCACCCACCACTGGTACCGGCTTTCCTCTTCAAGTTTTGAGGCACCTCAAAATCCTTTCCGTCGCCCCTCTCACCCATACCTTCCCTCCATGCCAGTTGGTCACTCTTGACGTTTCTTCCAACTGCCTCTCCAGCCTCCCACCAACCATCGGCAGCTGCTCCAGCCTTCAAGAAATCTCGCTACAAGGTACCTCGTTTCAAGGCACCCCATTTTGAGGTACTTCATTAGGACGTACATCAATACAGCAGATTCTCACTATGTACCGTGATACAGTGTACATCAGTACAGTACGAGGTGCTGATAACGGCACATCACCGTGTGGTCGATTCAAAGCACCGTGTGGTCGATTCAAAGCACCGTGTGAAAACGTATATCCATTCGGGCCAACCCATCTGAAAGTATGCCCTTATTTCTTTGTTGATTCACCCTCCTTCATCCTCATTCGCCCTCCGTCCGTGCCCAGACAACCGTATTGCAGGTCTACCCCCTTCGGTGGTACAACTATCCGACCTTCGCACTCTCGCCCTCGATAATAACCGACTCACTGACGTATGTTAACCCCTTGTATATACCTCCTCCTTCCCCTCCCTACCCCTCACGCTCCCACCCTTGTCCCCTCCTCCAAACCACTCGTTCCCTTGCTTGTTTCCGCTTCCTCACTTGATCTTATTCACTATCATTCTCTCTCATGCGTGTTCACACGCACTTTCCAACAACACGAAAAATCACTCTGATGTTGCGATAATATTAAGTCTGTCTCCTTCCAATCTCTCTCCCCCCTTTCAATCTGCCTCTCCCCCACTCTCCTCCCACCCCCTCCGCTTATCAACCTGCAACATGCCTTCCCTCCGTCCACACAGCTTCCAGCACAGCTTTTTGTTAAGTGTCAGCGGCTACACACGGTTACCCTGCGGGGCAACGCGGTTACGCTGGAGCAGATTGAGCAGATGGAGGGGTACGCTGGGTTCGAGGAGCGGCGGAAAACCAAAGTGGACAAACGCATTGCTGCCAATGTGTTGCTCAATGACCAAAGTCTGGATATAGGAATCGACCGCACATGACCATGTGATACGCTTATGCCTTGGAATAACCAAAGCGGACAACAGGTTGCTGCCAACACGATGCTATACGGGCAAAGCTTGGATATAGGCATCGATTGCATGTGACATTCTGCTTGTTACCGTATTTAGTTTCAATACTATTGTGTGTTAAACAGCTTGTGTGAAAGCCTAGATACTATTGTTGCCAACTTCACTATGTTCAAGCATAAAAAGCTGTGTGTGAGTGACATGCGCTGTGCATGTTGCTGGTACATTATTCCTACCGTACCACGAACACTTACAGAACATGGTGGGTCTGTTTAGAGGAGTGAGAACAGAACATGAACCCACTCTATTCAGGTCCCGTTTCAGTTTCTTTCCAGTTTTTCTTCAAAGAAGTTGCTCATAGTACCAAAACAAAAGACGATATCTCTCCCTCCAATCCAATGTCTCCAGCCAAACCAAAAAGGTGTGAGCGTTGTACGAAACGTGAGTACAGTACACTAGAAGTATGCAGGTGCCTGTTCCCGCTCCTCCTCGTATTCCAGCTGGAAAAAAAAAAAAAAAAAAAAAAAAAAAAAAAAGGGGGGGGGGGAATGAGGAATGAATGGGGGTGAAATAGAACAGAGGTAGTGGAGAATGGATGCAAGGACACATAGAATGAGAAAGGTTGGGAAACGATGGAAACGCAAGGGGATGGCGAAGGGAGGGGGGAACGGGGGGGTTGCGGGGGTGGTGGCAGAGGAGAGGAGGGAAAGGTGACGTCTGAAGCTGAAGTGGTTAGAGGGAGGCAATGCTTCACACTTGTTCTCTCCTTTCACAATGCTTCACAAATACTTTACTCTCCTTTCACAATGCTTCACAAATACTTTCCCTCTAACAAGCAGCCTTGCTCGTGCCTGCCTGTCTTCCCTCTCAGCAGGGGAGAGGAGGGGAAGGTAAGAGTTTGAATAGGAAGTGGTTAGTGGGATGCAATGCTGCATAAATGCTTTCCCTTGTCCCAATGCTGCGCAACGCTTAAAGCAGCCTTGATGTTGCCTGTCTTTCAACTCACCTCGATGTGTCTTCTCCTTCCGGCTTTGCCTGCAGCCACTCCTTTTCCTCTAGCAGCGGCAGCACCAGCAGCACCCTTCCTTGCCCCTCCCCCTGGTGCTGCCCCCTTTCCTGCTTGCTGCTTCCCCCATCTTGCCTGCACACTTCTCTCAAACTCCATCTCCGCTTCCTCCTCTGCCTCCTCATCCTCCTCCTCATCCTCCTCTTCTTCTTCCTCCTCTTCATCATCGTCCTCTTCTTCTTCCTCTTCCTCCTCCTCTTCCTCCTCCTCCTCCTCCTCCTCCTCCTCCTCCTCCTCCTCCTCCTCTCCATAATCCTCCTCTCCCCTCCTCCCACGCCCAGGCAACGCCAGTCTATCCCCCATATCTTCAATCTCCTCCTCATCCTCCTCTTCCTCCAAATCATATCCCTCAACAAATTCCACCAGAGGCTCATAATCCTCCTCCTCCTCCTCTTCCTCCTCCTCTTCCTCCTCTTCCTCCTCCTCTTCCTCCATTTCTCTATCCTCCACTCCCTCCTCCCCTCCAACCACCTTCACTCTCTTCTTGACTGGCCCGTCCTCCTGCTCCTCCTTCTCCTCCTCCTCTATCCTCTTTTGGAACTGCTTCAGCGGGAAGTTATAAAGCTCGCCGTACGTTCCGCTCTGTAGCCGCTGTAGCAGCTCCTTCTCAATGGCCTGGACAGTTGAGAGTAATGCAAAAGTAAATACGATTACATTAAAAATAAAGATGTATATAAATGTATGTGTGTGTATACATGCATGTGCAATACGTGGATGCACATGTACATGTATAAATCTAGATAAAGACTCAAAATGGGTGCTTCAGACGGAAAAACAAAATGAGTGAACCTCTACCCCTCTTTTACTCCTCAAGTTGACACACACATTCACACCATCACACACTCACTCACACCAACAAACACACACTCAAACCACACACACACCCCCACCAACACACACACTCACACAAAAGCAAGTCGTGTTCAAGCACTATCAACCCCTCTCGGACTCACTCGGTCAATCTTGGCGGCCGTTTCTGCCTTGGCCTCCCTCTTCTCATCCACCCACCCACCCAACAACCCCCACCTTTTCCCTCGAACTCACTCTGTCAATCTTGGCTGCTGTTTTTGCCTTAGCCTCCCTCTACCCACCCACCCATCCACCCACCCACCCACACCCAACAACAACCAACTTTCCCTCGGACTCACTCGGTCAATCTTGGCTGCCGTTTCTGCCTTGGCCTCCCTCTTCTCATCCCTCTTCCTCATTTTCGTCGGCATCGTCACCAGCTTTGGCCTGAGCGGTTAGGGGAGGGAGTGTTGGAAGCGAGTCAATCGGGCGAGTCAGGCAAGTAGGGAGTGAGGCATGCCGTCGATACGAAGCATCAACATACATGCGCATTCACACATCACATGACAGATACACGTGTACCAGAAATAACATATCATCCACTCACTGTATTTTAACGGCCAGTCGGCGCATGCGGATGAGGTACTGAGTCAACCGAGTCAACCAAGTCAAGATGATGTTTGTATTATTCGACTCACTGTATCTTGACAGCCAGTCGGCGCATGCGAATGAGGTACTGGGTCAACCGAGTCAAGCGGAGTTTCACGAGCGAGACCATGCGGGGCGGCCACCATTGCTGCGAGGGGAGGGGAGGAGAAGCAGAAGAAAGGAAGGTAATGGGGGGCCTGCTGGAAGCTTGTGAAAATTCCACGAAGCTTTCCAACGAAGCTTTCCAACGAAGCTTTCCAACGAAGCTTTCCAACTAATCCACCCACTCACCAGAAACTTGTCCACTGCTTCCAGTGCCTTGGTGTAGTTTCTCGGAAGCTTCACACGCTCCCAGAGCTTGTTGGGCATGTGTGCTCGCTCAATGGTCTTCATGTACAGAAACAGCTCGCCTGTGTGTGTGTGGGTGCGATGAGAGTGAGAATATCAAAGATTGTGGTAAGGGTAAGGATACAGCTGGCATGCAAACTGCAGCACATGCGCCCTCTCAATGGTCTTCATGTACAGAAACAGCTCGCCTGTGCGTGCGTGGGTGGGTGCGATGAGAGTGAGAATATCAAACATGGTGATAAGGGTCGTCAGGGTACAGCTGGCATGTAAACTGTAGCATGTGAGCCCTCTCAATGGTCTTCATGTATGGAAACAGCTCGCCTGTGTGTGTGTGAGGGTGGTTGCAATAAGGGACAGAAAAGTCAACAGGGCTGGTTGGGTTGGGCATGTGTGCTCGCTCAATGGTCTTCATGTATGGAAACAGCTCGCCTGCATGCATGTAGTTGGAAGGAGAGACGAAAAGTCAACAGGGCTTGTTGGGCATGTGCGCTCGCACACTAATCAATGGTCTTCATGTAAAGAAACAGCTCGCCTGTAAGTGTGTGTGGTCGCAAGAAGAGACAGAACGATGTTACAGATGGTGATTGATGGGGGTAACCATGCAGCCCGGCTGTATGGTAACCACGCAACCTCAAAAGTAACATTTTTGTACTGACAGAACGATGTTACAGATGGTGATTAATAGTGTAACCATGCAGCTCGGCTGTAAAAACAGCATGGTAACTTTTGAGGTTGTGTGGAGGGATGAGGGGGGGTGAGGGGTTGAGTCAACGCATTACCGTCATGTTCGCGCACTGTAGCGTAGCGGCTGTTGGCCAATGGGCACACGCCACGTTTGCAGATGGCGTTCAGGTTGAACGGGTGTCTGCAGAAAGTGTCCGTTTGCTGTCTGCAGAGGGTGACACATGGCGGACAGAGGTTGACACAAGTGGCAGACATAGATGAGACACGTAGCAAACAGACAGTTGGCCAGCACACGGAAGGCCCGTGCCTCATAATAATCGAATCAGCATTATCTGACGAGATTCCTTAAATCGCTCGGAAACCCTGAACCCTTCGGAACCCTTGTCGATATCTTTCGACGTTGCTGCCTTGCGTATACGTACAAATTAAGGAGCGCATAGAAATAAAAACCCCAGCCTTCCTATCCGTTCCTGACGGATAGGGTTCAAGAGAAACGTACTTGACTCGGTAACTGCAGGGACCCTTCCCGACAAGGCCCCAGATGACGTCATCATGTTGCATGGCCGCCGCGTGATCCGGCTCCTCTTGCCTGCGCGCCGACTAGCGATTGCGAGCGATGACTACGGAGGTCTCAGGAATCGACTTTTGAGTTGCCTCAAAAGTCACCTCTTGCCCGCGCGTTGACTCGGGATCGCGAATGATGATTATCGAAGTCTAAAAAATTGCTCGCTCTCTACGGTTTTGCTCCGCCCCGACTCCCGGCCTTGCACTTGCTGCGTACGGCGCTTTAAAACGGTGATAATGTAATCCCTTCGCCCCTCCTCCGTGATCCGGTCCGCCTGCTGCCTGCGGTTCACAAACCACGGCGCAACGCTACTGCCGAAACCCTTTAAATGCTTTAATTTCGTCACGGCGGTGGGTGCGCTTCCAACGGTGGAGCGGGGAAGTGGCTTCAAAGCATGGCAGAAGCACAGGCACACGTTTCTCTCTGTGTGATGCTGCAATCTGTTTAGAAATAGGTGCACAAAACGCGTCTCATGATCTTGGACAAATAAATGCGGACAAGGCAGTGGCCGATCAAGGAGATGAGTGCGAGCAGCTGAACTAAGTGGAAACGGAAACGGCTATAGCGAGTGTCTCTGGTGTGGAAGTTGGCCAGTTTTCCTCCAGCTGAACTCGGTCGTCCGCGGTATTGTCGGTCTAGGGTTTATGTAAGGAAAATTCCTTTTTCCTTACTTCGCGTCCCTGCTTACCGCGTACATGCCTGTTCCCGCCATCGGCACCCATCCGTGAACGTTACCCGCTCGCGACATTCACCTCGACCACCACTCCCGCCACTGTTCACGATGCGACCCAACCTCACGGTTCGGTTGGTAACCCGCGCTCCGGACCTCCGCCTCGACAATTCCCAACCTCGGCGCTAGGCCCGTAGCACACCCCAATTCCCCGCATTACCGTTACCACGCTAGCCTCGCTATATAACTTCGCTCATGCTTTTCGCTCAACTGTATTGTTTTGCTTCGATAGTGCAATTCTCGCTCGCTCACTCAATTGCACTCGTAACACTTGGTATTCAGAGCCTACGATCTCCTCTCGGACCGCGCCCACACCTTCGCTTCCCATTATCTCAATTTTTGGCGGGGGTAGACGTCTCTCAGCGAACAAGCACCGCCGCTCGAAGTGCTCTCTCGTAAGCACGCACGGCCACGACAGAGGCTCTCGCTGAGCTTGCCCGACACCCCCGCCATGGCCGAAATTACTCTTGCGGCATTAACGCAGGAGCAACTCGACCGTCTCGTGCGCCAACTCGAAGACTCGGCGCTCGAAATCGCGACACTCACGGCGGAACGTGACTCCGCCCGCCAGCAATCAACAGTGAATGCGCCAGCACCATCACAAGCACCCGCAAATGCACCTGCGCAATCAGAAGAACCGATCGTCATCTCATCAGGCACACCGACGCAAAACGACAGCGTGGGACAGCGCTCAGGCGCAGCCAGTGATGGCGCCGCTCAATCGATGCCTGGCATGGAGAGAAATCGGGCCGCGCCAAGCCCGCGTGGGCCTCGCGAAGCTCGTCGGCACGTGGAGTTTGCAGCAACAAGTGGCAGCCACGACATCATGGCACCAATGCCACTCAAGCCGCAGCGCCCGCCCTGTTTCGATCCGAGCCAACGTGGAGGTCCGACGGTTCAATCGTGGGTCTTCACGATGAACGTTTTCTTCGACGCGAATTACGTCGAGTCGGACGCAGCGAAGATTCGCTACGCTGTTTCGCTGCTGAGGGGCCCCGCCATGGACTGGTGGCGAGTCATCGTGACGTCGCCACGCGCCTACGAGCCACTGTCGCAAGAGGAAGAGCCCACGGGCCCAGCCGTCACCTGGAGTTCATTTTGCGAAACCGCCCAGTACAGCACGTGGGATGCGTGGTGCGCAGGGCTTCGGGCGCACTTCGAGCCGATCGCGGCTTCTATTTCGGCGCGTCAAAGACTGCGTACTTGGCGGCAGCTCGGATCAGTTCAAGACTACACGAGCGGTTTTCTCGCATTATGCGAGCAAGTCGGCTACATGCACGAAGCGGAGCGGGTGGACCGTTACGACGGAGGGCTGAAGACGGACATCTCGCACGAAATCATGCTGCGCGGGCTCTCGAATTTTAATGAGATCCTCGCGCTCGCCGAGAAAATCGACATTTTGCGCCGACCGAGACCGGGGTCCTATTACGGACATCGCCCTCGGGGACCGATCGAGCACGCCACCGTACACGCCGTTGCGACGAATGCAGCTGCCGCACCGTTTAAGGGGCGCTGCTTTGCTTGCAACAGGCCGGGCCATCGCAAAAGCGAGTGCCTAGAGGAGCTAAGGCGCCGCGGAGCAGAGCAGGGGAGGGAGTCTCAGAGGCAGGGAAACGCCAGCAGTCAGTAGAAATTGGGCCAACTACTGACGAGACTGCCTGCTCGCCCAACCTCACCAACCCTCACCGAGTCACAGTACCGATTCATGCTATCGATCGGGCTCGGATGAATAAGGAGGGTACAGCGACGGATTGCCCAATACTGATTCACGGGAAAATACAGGGAGCAGCAGTGAAGATTATTATCGACGGAGGAGCAAGTCACAGCTTAGTTAATACCGCAACCGCACGGAAGATGTAGCTGACACTTAGTCGGTGTTTACCGGAGATAGATGCACGCTTAGTCGACGGTAGGCCGCTGGCCATACGGGAGAAGGTGGAAAGAATAAAAGTCCGCTGCGGGGGGAACTTTGGATTTACACAGGAAATGCTCGCGACGACACTGGATGGGCACGACATTTTACTGGGACGTGACTGGCTGCGACGGTATAATCCGCGAATCGACTGGACGACGGGTAGCTGCACTGTGCAAAGCAGCGGTAACTGGGTCGTGCTACCTCGCTGGCAGTCGCCCGAGTCTTCAACGGTCCACGTCAACGCCATCACGATGAAACCGGCTGTCGCCGCGGGAGCTGACGTGTACGCAGTGGATATAGCATTGGTAGGAGAAGCAGAGCAGCCGAGCGATTTTCAGAAACTGTTGGCAGCGGTACCGCCCGAACTACAGGAACTGTTGAAAAGGTACCCGGGGATTTTTCCGGACGATTTACCAGAGGGACTGCCACCTCAGCGGGCACATGACCACCGAATAGAGTTAGAACCGGGGGCACAACCAACTGTACAGCGACAATTCCGACTGACACAGCCAAGCTCGATGAACTGAGGAAGCAGTTAGATTACCTGTTAGAGAAAAAAATCATCCGACCGAGCTCGTCACCGTTCGCCGCACCGATACAGTTCACACCGAAAAAAGACGGGGGCTTTCGCATGTGTATCGACTACAAAGCACTGAACAGGGTAATAGTCAAGTCGCGATACCCTATTCCCCGAGCCGACGAACTGATAGATCAACTACGAACAGCACGGGTCTTTTCGAAAATTGACTTACGCGGAGGTTACCACCAGATTCGGGTCGAACCATCGGATTGCGTAAAAACGGCATTTAGAACTAGGTATGGGTCATTCGAGTACACCTTGATGCCATTCGGGCTGACCAACGCACCGGCGACATTTCAGATGACCATGAACGTGTCAAACATTGTATGTGTTATATTTGTGTAGGCTATTGTGGGTTAGCCTCTAGGGGGTACAGAACTTTAGGTTTGTCATACTTGTACTCTCATTCTGTTGCTAGTCTCTGTTACTTCTGCTACTGCTACTGCTGCTACTTCCACTATGGCTAGCCCCTCTGTACTAGCTTTCGATGCTGAGGGCCGCCCACTGAAGTTTGAGACCTGGCTCGATGACCTTCACCTCTTCCTCCAGCTCACTGCCAAGGAGGATATCTCACTGTACGATCACGCGCTAGGCAATGCTGCTGCCCCTGCTGCTACTGCTGACAGTACTGCCCGTTCACAGTGGCAGACTCGTGACGCCCACGCTCGCTTTGCTATTCGCAACTCCCTGCCGGTAGATGAGCGCGAGCACTTTGGCCAGCACAAAACTGCGCAGGCACTGTACACTGCTGTAGTTGCACGCTACTCCTCACCTGCCTCTGCTGCGCTAGGCCGTCTCTCGCTCCCCTACCTGTTCCCAGACCTGTCCGCTTTCGCCACAGTCGCTGACCTCACCACGCACCTCCGCACTAGTGAGGCTCGCTTCCGTGCCGCTATGCCCGCTGAGTTTCTTGCCACCCACCCCCCCCCCGCTCTGGCTCACTCTCTACCACCTTGTCACCCGTCTCCCTGACTCTCTTCGTGCGGTCAGGGACCACTTCCTTGCTCGCTCCCCCACTGAGCTCACCATAGACCTGCTCGAGAAGGAACTGCTTGCAGCCAAGACTAGCATAGTCGCTGTAGCTGCCTCTCGTGGCGACCCCCGCACCCCTTTCTTCGAGGGGTGTTCCCCTTCCCCCCTTCTCCCCTCTGTCGCCTCTGCTGCTGCTGTCGACCTAGTTGGTACTGAGCAGGTCGGGACTGCGTCCGCTCCGAGCTGGCGCCGCAGCGGCAAGGGCAAAGGGGGCAAGGGAGGTGGAGGTGACGGCGGGGGAGGTGGTGGTGGGGGCGGTGGCGGTGGTGGGGGTGGTGGCGGGACTGGAGGGGCTAGTGGCAGCGGTGGGGGTGGAGGTGGCAGCAGCGGAGGAGGTGGCCGGGGTGGAGGCGGTGGTTGGGGAGGCGGTGGACGCGGAGGCGGCAGAGGCGGTGGTGGTCGAGGTGGTGGAGGCGGCGGTGGTGGTCGTGGAGGCGCTGGCGGTGGCCAGAGCCAGCAGCACACTCCGTCGTCCCAGGAGCTTCGTGAGTGGTACTCTCAGCACGGGGGGGGGGGGGTGGCCTTAGCTGTACGTACGTCATCCGCACTGGTGACCGCACTGGCCAGACGTGTGGGAGGGCGCACACCACGCAGCGCTGCTTCTCCCGCCTTGACGACGCTTGGCGCACTCAGTTCCCTGCTGCCACTGAGCTGCCCCGCTGGGCTGACCTGATGAAGAAGAACATTGATATCTATGCTCTTGACTTTGATGCTATTCTCACTGCCATGTATGTGTTGTCTACTAGTGGAGAGGGTGATCAGTACCTGCGTGTTCCACCCGACCCGGGCATTCGGACCAGTGAGGCTGCCGCTCTAGGTGCTTGCGTGTCTGCTGCCCCAGGTGCTGGTGAGGCTGCTGCTCTAGGTGCTTGCGTGTCTGCTGCCCCAGGTGCTGGTGAGGCTGCTGCTCTAGGTGCTAGTGAGTCTGCGCCCCCTGGTACTGAGTCCACTAAGGCACTGCACACCTTCACTCTAGACTCAGGAGCTTCTCGTTGTTTCTTTCGTGACCGCACTGCCCTTGAGCAGCTTGCCCGGCCAGTTGCTGTCTCCCTTGCTGACCCCTCTGGGGGTCCAGTCATTGCGACCTCCTCCACTGTCCTTCCTTGTCCGGCGGTTTCGTCGGGCACACTGTCCGGTCTCCACCTCCCCTCGTTCTCTACGAACTTGGTGGCGGGTTGTGCGCTCCAGGACGGGGGTGTCCACCAGTTCACCCCTGCCTACGAGCGCGTGACACACTGCACGTGTGCTCGGACGGGCCGTCACCTGGCTACCTTCACTAGGCAGCCGGGGTCGGACCTGTATACACTGACCACTGAGTCCCCTCAGGTAGCTGCGTCTGCGTCTGCGTCAGGTCAGCTGTCTGCCCCTTGCTCGTGTCGCTCTCTGGCGCACGAGACTGTCCTCTGGCACCACCGCCTTGGTCACCCGTCAGTGCAGCGCCTTCGTGCCATGCACAAACGGTACCTTGTCTCTGGTCTTCTCCGGGTACTCCCTCCCCTCCCACCCTCGCCTGCTCCTCCCTGTCTTCCTTGTGTCGAGGGGCGGAAGCGCGCCGCTCCTCACTCCTCCTCGTTTCCCCCGACGACTGCTCCCTTGCAGACGCTCCACATGGACGTGTGGGGCCCAGCCCGCGTCCGTGGACAGGGTCAGGAGAGGTACTTCCTGATCGTTGTTGACGACTACTCGCGCTACACCACGGTCTTCCCCTTGCGCACCAAGGGTGAGGTCCCTGATGTTTTGATCCCTTGGATCCGCGCTTCTCGTCTCCAGCTCAGCGAGCGGTTCCACTCGGACTTTCCTGTCCAACGTCTGCACTCAGACAGAGGTGGTGAGTTCTCCTCCGACCTCTTGGCAGCCTACTGTGCGGAGCACGGTATCCGCCAGTCGTTCACGCTTCCGGCCTCTCCACAGCAGAATGGGGTTGCTGAGCGCCGCATTGGCTTGGTCATGGAGGTCGCTCGTACCTCCTTGATCCATGCGGCTGCCCCCCACTTTCTGTGGCCGTTTGCGGTCCGGTACGCTGCGCATCAGCTCAACCTCTGGCCCCGTGTCTCCTTGCCGGAGACCTCGCCCACACTGCTGTGGACGGGGGAGGTTGGCGATGCGTCGCGTTTCCGGGTCTGGGGATCTCGAGCTTTTGTCCGCGATACGTCCGCGGACAAGCTCTCCTCCCGCGCTGTTCCTTGTGTCTTCCTTGGCTTTGTCCCGGACGCGTCTGGTTGGCAGTTTTACCACGCCACCTCGCGCCGTGTCCTGCCCTCTCAGGACGTCACTTTTGACGAGTCGGTGCCCTACTACCGCCTCTTCCCCTACCGCACTGCCCCGCTCCCCCCCCCGCCTCTCTTCCTCGCGCCAGGTGCTGCTGTGGTAGACCCCCTCCCCCCTCAGGGTGCCGCTCCCTCAGGTGTGTCCCAGGTAGACCCGGTTGAGCCTGTCGAGGTAACTGTCGACTCTCGTCCTGCTCGGGGTGCTGAGCCTGAGCGTGCGGAGCCTGGGGGTGCGGAGCCTGGAGTTGCGGAGTCTGGGGGTGCGGAGCCTGCGGGTGCTGAGTCTGGGGGTGCTGAGTCTGGGGGTGTTGAGCCTGAGGGTGCTGCGACTGAGAGTGCTTCACCTGGAGGCGCTCTTTCCTCACAGCAGCTGCGTGAGTGGTACTTACAGTACTGCAGCCTCAGGAGAGGTACTGCTGGAGCTCGTGCTCGTGCTTCCCCTCCTAGGCGGGAGCTGCCCTCTCCCCAGCGGCTTCGAGAGTGGTACGCTCGTCGCTGCAGTCTCCGGAGTGGCGCTCCTAGTGTCGAGGACCCTGGAGCTGGAGGTGCTGCTGGTGCTGGAGCTGCTGGAGGTGCTGCTGCTGCTGAAGGTGCTGCTGGTGCTGGTGCTGCTGGAGCTGCTGCTGGTGTTGGAGCTGTTGGAGGTGCTGCTGCTGCTGGAGGTGCTGCTCGTACTAGTGCTACTGGCGCTGCTGGAGGTGCTGCTGGTACTGGTGCTGCTGGAGCTGCTGGAGGTGCTGCTGTTGCTGGCGGTGCTGCTGGAGGTGCTGGAGGTGCTGCTGGAGCTGCTGGAGGTGCTGCTGGTACTGGTGCTGCTGGTGCTGGTACTGCTGGAGCTACTGGAGGTGCTGCCGGTGTTGGAGCTGCTGGAGGTGCTGCTGGTGCTGGAGCTGCTGGAGGCACTGCTGCTACTGGCGGTGCTACTGGAGGTGCTGCTGGTGCTGGAGCTGCTGGAGCCGCTGGTCCTGGAGGTGCTCGTACTGGAGGTACTGGAGCTGCTGGGACTGGAGCTGCTGAGGGGGTTGGAGCTGGAGTTGCTGAGCGGCCGCGGCCGTACAACGTTCCGCTCCTTCAGCAGGTTCTTGGTCTCCCGCCCTCTATTGGTCCTACTCCTCCCCTACTGAGTCCACCGCCTGTCCAGTCACAGTCACAGTTACAGCCTGCCTCTCCGCTGCCTGCTCCTTCTCCTTACACTTCGCCGACGGGTAGTCTTACTGAGCGTCGTGAGCCTGAGTCTCGTCCTCCGTCGCCTGAGTCTAGTCCAGAGTCGCCTGTGTCGCGTCCAGAGTCGCCTGTCCGGGCTGTCCGCGCTGGTCGTCGTGCTCCGCGTGAGCGTCCTCCTCCTGTCCTTGGCACTCACTATATGACCCTGCGTCCTTCCACTGCTCCACAGCGCGTCCCTCTGCCGTCTCCTCCTGCGTCCTCTCTTCCTGACGTTGCTGACCCGCCGTCAGACCTTACTCGTGCTGCCAGTCCTACTGTCGCGCGTCTCCTTGCCACTGTTGTCACTGACCCTACCTTTGAGTCCTCTGCTGCGTCTGCTCTAGTCGCTGAGCTTGTTGACTTTGCTGCCGCCTGTCGTCTAGACTACGCCGCTAGCCTTGTTGCTGAGTCTGAGTCTGTCTGTCCTCCGTCCGTCGGGGGTGAGTGTGCTCTTGGCACGGACGTCCTTGAGGACAGACAGGAGGAGTTTGAGTGCTTTGCTGCTGCTTTACCTCATCTCGTGTCCATGCTGATTGCCCCTGAGGGAGACCCGGATGCACCAGACATCCCGACCCCATGCTCCTACGCAGAGGCGATGGAGGGTCTCTACTCCTCTCAGTGGCAGACAGCCATGGACGCAGAGATGGCTTCCTGGAAGTCCACAGGCACCTACGTCGACGAGGTTCCCCCACCTGGGGCGAACATCGTCAGTGGCATGTGGATTCTCAGGGTGAAGCGGCCGCCGGGTTCTCCGCCTGTCTTCAAGGCGCGTTACGTTGCACGAGGCTTCAGTCAGCGAGAGGGAGTTGACTTCTTCCAGACCTTCTCCCCGACCCCGAAGATGACCACTCTTCGGGTTCTGCTGCACGTTGCTGCTCAGCGTGACTACGAGCTCCACTGCCTTGACTTCAGCACTGCGTTCCTACAGGGCACCCTGCACGAGGAGATCTAGCTGCGCCGCCCACCTGGCTTCACTGGGTCGTTCCCTCCTGGTACCCAGTGGAGCCTCCGGCGGCCAGTCTACGGTCTCCGCCAGGCACCTCGTGAGTGGCACGACACACTGAGGACTACTCTTGCTGCTCTTGGGTTTGCTCCTTCTACTGCTGACCCGTCGCTGTTTCTACGCACCGACACCACTCTGCCGCCGTTCTACGTTCTCTTGTACGTAGACGACTTGGTCTTTGCTACTGCTGACACTGAGGCACTCGCCCACGTGAAGTCGGAGCTGTAGAAGAGACACACGTGCACAGACCTGGGTGAGGTGACAAGCTATCTTGGCTTGCGGATCACCCGGGACAGAGCACAGCGCACCATCACCTTGACTCAGTCACACATGGTGCAGCAGGTCCTTCAGCGCTTCCGCTTCACGTACTCCTCGCCTCAGCCCACTCCTCTGCCTACCGGTCACTCGCTCTCAGCTCTGCCTTCGGATGAGCCCGTAGAGCCGAGTGGCCCGTATCCAGAGCTTGTGGGCTGCCTCATGTACCTGATGACCTGCACTCGACCTGACCTAGGCTACCCTCTTAGCATCCTAGCACGCTATGTCGCTCCTGGCCGTCACCGGAAGGAGCACATGGATGCAGCTAACAGGGTGTTGCGCTACTTGTGCAGTACGTCGGGCATGGGGCTTGTGCTTGGAGGACGGCGCGACGTTGTCCTCACTGGACACTCAGACGCTTCTTGGGCTGACGACCAGGCTACTCAGCGGTCGTCTCAGGGTTACACCTTCAGCCTTGGCTCTGGCTCAGTTTCTTGGCGTTCTACTCGCTCTTCCTCTGTTCTCAGCTCCAGTTGTGAGGCTGAGATCTACGCCACAGCCATGGCTGCCCAGGAGCTTCGCTGGCTCACCTACCTGCTGACCGACCTGGGAGAGCGGCCTCGTTCTCCTCCAGTGCTGTACGTCGACAACAAGGCCGCTCTTGCCTTGTTCAGGAGCACAGACTGGAGCACAGAACGAAGCACATCGCTCTGCGCTACTTCCTTGCTCAAGAGCTGCAGCAGCGTGGTCAGCTTCGTCTTGCGTACGTGGCCACTCGGGCCAACACTGCTGATGTGTTCACCAAGGCGCTTCAGCCTTGTGATCATCAGCGTTTCTGTACTGTTCTAGGCCTTGTGCCTACTCTCCCTCACTTGCTCACTTCTTGACTCTGCTTGTACTGTGATCTCTATATATATACCTGCATGCTTGCACTTGCTAGGTTGTGATCACTGTACCTCTTGTTCTATTATCAAACTGCATGTGTACTGGTCTTGTGACCACTTGCTTGTGCTCGGAATTTGTGTGGTTTCCTTGAGATCCACCCTGAGCTTGCTTTGCTTTGCTTTGACTGGTCCTGTGACCCCTTGTTCTCCCCCACTTAGCCTATGGGGGTGTGTCAAACATTGTATGTGTTATATTTGTGTAGGCTATTGTGGGTTAGCCTCTAGGGGGTACAGAACTTTAGGTTTGTCATACTTGTACTCTCATTCTGTTGCTAGTCAATCATTCTCGTTCTCTCTAAGTTTGTAACAGAACGAGGCGTTTAGACCACTCTTAGATAAATGCGTGATAGTTTACCTCGACGACATCCTAGTCTACAGTCGCGATAAGCAGCAGCACTTAGCAGATCTGGAAGCAGTGTTTAAAGTTTTAGACGAGCACAGACTACTGACCAAGGGTTCCAAGTGCGAGTTCTTCCAGGATAGGTTAGAATTTTTGGGGCATGTTATTTCGGAGGCTGGAGTTGAGATCGACCCAAAGAAGCTGGACACGGTAAAAGCATGGCACCCCCCGACGAACATCACGGAGCTGCAGAGTTTTTTAGGGTTCGTTAATTATGTGCGTCGGTTCATCCCCGACATGGCACGTTTAACCGCCCCACTGACGGACTTACTGCGGAAGGGGGTCGTTTTTACGTGGGGGGAGAAAGTGCATGCTGCCTTCTCTGCCCTGAAAAATGTTCTCTGTTCACCGCCCGTACTGCGCATCGCCGACCCACACCGCCCATTCGAAGTAGTTACAGACGCAAGCGATATCGCCATTGGAGCCGTTTTGCTACAGGATTTCGGCAACAGTTTACAGCCCATCGCATACGAGTCACGAAAACTGCATCCGCCCGAGAAGAATTACCCGATACACGACCGCGAAATGCTCGCGATCGTACATGCATTCAAGGTCTGGCGCTGTTACTTGACCGGCGCAGACGTGACAGTACGGACAGACCACATATCACTACAGTACCTCCGCGCGCAGCCCCACCTCAACCCACGACAGATCCGCTGGCTCGATTTCCTCGAGTCAAATTTCCACTACACTGTCACCTATAAAAAGGGAGCATCGAACATTGCCGACGCACTGACCCGCCCAACTGCCCAGATCCACGCCATACTACTCGCACAGACCAGCCCGCTACTGACAGGCCTATTTACGCACGGGTATCAGACATACCCCTTCTTTACTGGAGGCAACTCGCAGCAGTTCGCAGCAGCAAAAGGGGTGTACTACGTAAAAGCCGGCACCGACCGCATCTGGGTACCGGGCTACACTTTACTAAGGGAACTGTTACTATAGGAGGCACACGACGAGGTTACCTCAGGTCATTTCGGGGTAGAAAAAACACGGCAGCAGCTGCAACGGTATTACTACTAGCCCGAGATGCTGACCGACGTGCAACGACACGTGGCATCGTGTCCCACCTGCCAGCTCATGAAATCATCACGACAACGACCGGCAGGACAGTTGCAGCCGATACCACCCCCAGAGCGTGCTTGGCAGCAGGTGACGATGGATTTCGTCACGGGGTTACCGGCTGGAGCAAGTGGGAATGACGCGATCCTGGTCGTCGTCGATCGGCTGACGAAGATGGCACACTTCGCAGCCTGCAAGAAATCAATCACAGCCGAAGAAACAGCCCGCCTCTTCATCTCCACCGTCGTTCGACTGCACGGGATACCAGCATCAATTATCAGCGACCGCGACACGAAATTCACCAGTAACTTCTGGCGAAACCTGTGGCAGCAGTTCGGCACGCGACTACAGTTCAGCTCACCATACCACCCCAAAACCGACGGACAGACAGAACGGACAAATCAGACCATGGAACAGCTCATCCGAGCCACGTGCGACGACCCAACCACGTGGGAACAGCAACTGCCACTCATCGAGTTCGCGTACAACAACTCGCCATCTGCCACGATCCAACAGTCACCGTTTTTCCTGAACTACGGACAAGACCCCACAGTACCCATGACCCCGAATTCCGACAACCCAGTCCCACGCGCGCAACAGTTCGCAGAAATACTGCAAGCAGCACGGACCCGAGCAGCAGAAGCAATAAAAAAATCAAACTTCATCGCTAAGCGCAACGCAGACCGACACCGCCGCCCCGTCACTTACCGTATTCCCCCGGATAAAAGACCCTAGGGTCTGTTATTGATTTCACAAAAAAATGTGGGGGGTCTTATTAAATTGTAAAAAACCTATAAGACCCGGGTCTTATTAGAAGTGCTATGTTTTTTAAAATATAATGAAATGCTAGGGTGTTGTAATTCAGATTTGCGTTTTTTTAACAAGGAAAAACCTCGCGAATGTCCTGAGCCGAGAAACCGGGCACAATCCATGAAGCATCTGAATGCTTCATGCTCATTGGCCCATATTCAATGGTAACTAGCATAACAGATTGGGGGCCGACCAATGTGTACCACGTCCAATGCTTTGTGTCAGACCGCCTCGGACGTCTCATCCCTTGCATGCTACGTGAGGCTCTCGGCACAGAGTCGCGCTCTCTCTGTCACGTCTCGTGCACAAGCGAATTTGACACCGCCAGGGAACGAACCCACCTCTGTGCAATGGGGAGCGCAGCTCGGCAGAGTCTAGCATATCGGGACTAGCACGACAGATTAAATTCAGAGCGCGAAGAATGCCAGGCATAGCATTAGGCAGGAAAACGGTATCACCATGGTGTCAACGCCCGATTCAGGCACGTCAGAATCCCGTCGCCCTCGTGCAAAAAACGTCCGTCAACCTGCTTCCCACAGTCCGTGTCCCCGTATTTCCGCAGTCGTCACGTCCGCAAGGCAAGAAGAAGAAGGTGCAGGATGCAGCGCCCCCCTCCTCGCCTCGCCACCGTATCACGAAGAAGGCGCGGCATGCGTACACGGCGAGGGAGAAGCTGTACTGGCTGGATATGCTAGACACGCAGCCCGATCTCAGCATCCGGGGGTTGGCGCGGCTAGCTAACGTGCAACCGAAGCAGATTCGCGAATGGCGGAAATTGAAGGAGCGACTCCTTGTTTCAGCGGCGTGTCGTCGTCGCCTCGTTGGCGCAGGCCGTAAGGCCAAGTGGCCTTTCATGGAGCGGGCCGTCTACCCTCAGTTTTTGGCGCACCGTGCCAAGGGTCTGGCCGTCTCTGTGAGCATGCTTCAGAAGTGGTCGCGGCAGTACATGAAGCACCGACACCCTCAGGCCGACTGGCGCGGGTCTAACCGTTGGACTTTCCGTTTCCGCGTGCGGTGGTCCTTGGCAAAGCGTGTCAAGACAAAGATGGGGCAAAAGCTGGCTGACAGTGAGTCCCTTTGCCTTGACGCTATATTTGCACGCGGAAACCGGTCTCGTGTGTGTAATCGATGTTGTTCCGCGACTGACAATTTGTATGTTCTCTCTCCTTGCAGATTTGAAGGCCAAGGTGGAATCATTCTGGGAGTTTGTTCGGCAGATGCAAGTCCTGAACTCCTACCCCACCAGTCTGATCGTTAACGCCGATCAGACGCCGCTCTTCCTGGAGATGCCGCAGGAACGCACATTGGAGATGAAGGGGGCGCGCACCGTGCACGTCCGTACCGCGGGTTACGAGAAGGAGCGCCTCACCGTTATGCTGGCGGTGACGGCGAGCGGCTTGAAGTTGCCACCGTATGTGGTGTTCAAGCGCAAGACAATCCCGAAGGTCGTCGTTCCGCGAGGTGAGTCATTGTTGCCGTTGCGCATGTTACTAGAACCCCTGTACATGCGACTGACATGCATCATGCGGTGTGCAGGCGTCGTTATCCGTGCGCAGGCACGGGGATGGATGGACGAGAACCTCGTCCAGGACTGGACTACCCAAGTCCTCGTCCCCTTCATGCGGCCCCTGCGGGACGAGGGGGGCAGGCGGAAGGACGTCCTCCTCGTCCTGGACTCATATCGAGGACATCTCACCGAACGTGTCGGCCAGACTATGCGTCTCTTCAGGCTGACACGCGCGGTGATCCTAGGCGGTTGCACACCGCTTGTGCAACCGCTTGATGTGTCTATCAACCGTGCCTTCAAGGCGGGCGTCCGCCACCGCTACGGCAACTGGTTCGAGGAGGACGGGATCACAAGCACAACTCCCGCAGGTAAGCCCGTGTATGAAGCAATGGGGGCGTGTTGTCGGTGTAAGAACAGGCGAATCACACAACCATACACCCTCCAATCCCTTTCCCTTGGCCCCAACCCGCAGGCAACCTGAAGAAACCGCCGGCCGAACTCGTCTTGAAGTGGATTGACGAGTCGTGGGCCGACGTTCCCGAGGAGATGGTGAGGAAAGCATTCCTCACCTGCGGCATCTCCAACGCAGAGGACGGGAGCCAGGATCATTTGATCCTGGCGCACATGCGGGATTCCGGCGAGGTGGAGGTGCTGGAAGACGTGATGGAGGAGGAGCAGGATGAACTGGTCCCCAACCCGTTCTACCTGGCCCCCGTGGTCACCCCTCCCGATGTGACCGTCAAGATGGAGGAGGAGGCCGTGCTGGCCGCTGAAGCAGAGGAGGCCGATGAGGAGGCAGTACCTGCTAAGTCAGACTCGAGCGAGTCAGACGATGGAAACGCGAGTGAAGCTGACGAGTGGAGTGACGACGGGGATGAATGGTGGGCCCCTGGTCGCTATGAGGGGGCAGAGGTAGAGGAGTGGGTGGCGGGTGACGAAGATGAGTAGCAAGGCGGGGGCGGATTCCAAGGTGGTGGGTGAAGAGTGGAGCTAGCTGGGTGTTGAGAGGCTGCCTTGATTGTATTTTGTGACTCCTGTGGCCTAACATGTGCCACTGCTTGCTTAATTGACATGAATTAGCATCTAAAAAACACTTTTATGGTTGGGGGGGGGGTCTTATAATGATTTCACCCCAATTGGGGGGTATAAGGAAAACAGTCTTGAATAATATACCTCCCCCCCCCCGTATTAAAGACCCGGGTACATTATTATAGGGGGGTCTTTTATCCGGGGGATTACGGTAATATCCATTTCCACTCATTTCTATCAAAACAAAGCCCTGATGTTTATAGGTCAATATTTAGTCTACAAAGGCTTGCATCAGTTCAAAAAAAGCTGTCAATCACATGCGCGCTTGTAGTATGGTTAATTTGGGGGCTGTTGCACCTCCTCCTTGCAGACAGGACAAACCTGCCACATGGATGAAACAAGGATGGGCATGCGATGTGAGAAAGCTCTTTATAAGCAGCAGCATGACCAGCACACTTGCGTGCAACCAGCAACTTAAAAAAAAACCATTGGCAGGATGGAGGAAGAAGAAAATGTAGCGACACCTCAACAAAGTTGGCAAGCCTCACTTTGTTCTGTCCCAGCCATTGTTTTCTTGAGTCGAAACTAATCATAACATCACCTTGTTCCGTCCCCATTGTTTTATTCGACTTTAAACCTCACCATAATTCGTCCCAACCATTGCTTTTGAGTAAATTCAAGTTCAACCCTCACCTTGTTCCGCCCCAGCCATTGCAAGACACAGGCCTCATGGTATGAATGGTGGCACGGCGGCAGCAGCAGCAACTCCTCCCCTTCCTCATACTCCAGCTGGCAAATGGCGCACCTGAGAAAAAAAAGCACACAAGTAGACGATTACAACAGTCTACTTTGGAGGCGTCTAAAAAAAACATACTCCACCTGGCAAATGGCCCAACTGAGGGGGAAATGCAACGAGAAAAATACGACAGAAGAGAGCCGGAGTGGCCGGAGCGGCGGAGGAGGGAGGGGAGATGGGGGGGGGTGGAGAGGGAGGAGAGAGAGTGGGGGTTGAGAAATGACGGGTGAAAAAAACAAGCTTCGAAGATGCTTAGGGTTACGGAAAGAAGTGAACATGAAATGTGGCACTTCGGGGTTGTATTCATGCACAAAGCTGGAACTTAAAAATCAGCAAGCATCTTACATGTCCTCGCCTCGCCTCAGGGGGCTCTTGGTGCTGTATGCAACGCGTGGCAGTGCGTCAATGGTTGCTTGCACCAGCCCCTTGCTCTCTGTTCCAATCACCTCTCCCAGAGCAGTCAGTTCCTGCAGAGACACACAGAACAGAAAAGAGTGATGAGTGATGAAACAAGTGATGGATTCTCCCCTTCCTGGACCCACCCTAGTGAAAACGAGAACTGTGAGCTGCTCCGCACAGCTTTCAAAACTGGGAACAATTCATGTATCCCGGCGCCTCAAATCGCACTGGGAAACCTGGTGCCTCACTTCACACGCCTCGTCTCCTTGCTTCCTAAACTGCAAAAATCTCATACCGTACCATACGATAGAAGTTAAAATTTTGAGACTTCTCAAAACTCAACTTTTATCACGTGGCTCTTCCTCACACTGCTAAATCTCATACTGTACCATACCATGGCATACCATGCCATGCGATATCAGGCCATTCCATGCCATGCCACGTGTCGGATGGACCTACCATGCTTCTGAGAAATATTTTAAACAGAGACAATCTCGCACTTCATACGTCATCTTGTCGACATCCAGTACCTCCTCCTCCTCCCCGTCCTCTTCCTCGGTATCCTCATCACCCCCATCCTCCTCCTCCGTATCCTATTTTTTAGTCAACTAGAAACTGGAACTCTCACCTCATACGTCATCTCGTCCACATCCAGTGCATCCTCATCCTCCCCATCCTCCTCCTCTGAATCCTCCTCCTCCGACTCCTCATCACCCTGCAAGCCCAGCAAACGCCCATGACATGGTAAAGGAACAGACATAGCAAACAGCTTTCGCTGCCAGAAACAAAGAGGTTGAATGCCTGCTTGCACCCGCATGAGCGCATCCTCCCCTCCCCCACCATGCTTGCTTTCTGACGCGAATCACCGACTTCCCCATCCCCCTCTTATGGAAAACGACCTTACTGTCAGCCCACCATTGTCTCAACAAACCCCACCTCCCTCCCACATTCTACCATCCCCCTGTTATTGTAAGTCACTCTTGATTTGACTTCCAAGTCACCTCGCATTCTAATTCCTAACAATTTTCAAAGAAACCGACCAACAAGCAAGCTTTGAGTCCAGGCAGCTATCTCAAAATCCCCCGCCAAAAGGCCAAGCATTGCCGTGAGCTGCTGCCATCTTCTCTACACTCAGTCTCAAGCCAAAGCACTATGTACTTGATCAAACGGTCACTTACATGACTCATAGTCAACTCACCTCTCCCTCGCCGAAAGGCCAGGCGACGCCATGCGCTGCTGCCAGCATCTCCGCTCTCCTCCTCGAGCTCGACCCTGAATAGCATACAAAAAGAGAAAAATATAACGAAAACTTGGGAACAAAGGACCATCAGTATCAGATGAGATTCTGCAGTACACCCAGCCAGGCAAGGGTTTTTTTAAGCAATGTTAGACGTATTCGAGCATAAAGGCAAGCAATCAACGGCTGCCAGCCACCGTTGGCGACTGTGACGCACCTCGACCGTCGCTCAGTTGCAGCCCAGCCATGGCGAACAGCCTGCGAGCCATCTCACGCTCTTCTTCCTCCTGCAACGCACGAGCAAACGCCTCGTCATCCTCGTACGCTCCCTCCCCTCCCTCCCCTGCCTCCCCTGCTTCCCCACCCTCAGCAACCCCCCAAGCTGCAATCCCTTCCGCTCCTTCCCCAGCTCCTTCGGCGCCATCACCTCTCCCGTCCCTGAGGACTCCCGACATGTTCGCAGCGGTCTCGGGTTCGAGTCCTAGCTGGTCCACTTCGCTCCCGCCGTTCTGGAACAGCTGCCGCTGCAGCGACGCACTTCTGACTTGTCCACGTGACTCGCGGCCTGGCTCGTCCGCAGCTTCGCTTCCTCGTTCACCGACCTCGCCCATTTCGCCATCTTCGCCTGTTTCGCCATCGTCTTCGCTAGCTTCCTCCCATTCGCCGTACTCATCGTCGTCCGCATCTGCGAATTCCTCCTCGGCATCGGGATCGTCTGCCTCGAGCTCCTCTCCCTCGCTCAGCAGCACAATGGGATTATCTACCGACGAGCCTGTCTGACGGACTTCACGGTCTTGACGGCCTTGAAGCCGTCTAGAGCTGCCTCTAGAGCCAGAGCGAGAACCCGAGGCTGACGCTGACGCTGCTGCTAATGCTTGCTGGTGGTAAAGCATCATGAATGCACACTCCTGTGAGCAGGAAAAGAAAAAAACGGAGGATGAAATCAGCGATTGGAGAATCACGACATAAACAGATTCGTAAGAACAAGCTTGTCCTCTTTTTCATCTGTGCAGCCCGCCGAATCCTGAATCGCATTACGACAGACTGAATAATTAGTTACTGAACAGGTTCCCTCGTTTGATCAGCGCAGAGTCTACCGGTCCTCTTGGGATCAATGCAAAGCCTACGGTCCTCCTCAGATGAAGCCTAACTGTCCTCCGCAGGTCAGTGCGAAGCCTACCTGTTCCTGAATCGCACGAGCGAGAGCCAAGTCGGCCTCCAACTGGCTATTCTCCGTGAACGGCGTTCGACGACGACTTCCGTCTTCGGTTCCTGACTGACCGTCTACATCGCCGTCTGCTTGACTGACAACCGTCTCGTTCAGCTCATTCCCGACGTCGCCTGATACTTCCGGAAGTTCAGCGGAGACGGGAGCCGAGGAAGATTCACCGGCTTTTGTAAGATTCCTGGAAATTTCACCGTCAGGTTTACTGGATGAATCTCCCACTGCTCTAGTTGGACCACTCATCGTTTCAGCTAAATCGATGGATTCGGCGAGAAATGACAGATAATGATCCTCTGGATGGTTATGGTTACTAGATGAGCCCATGTTGAGAAGAAGAAGAAGAAACCAAGATATGTAAACCTGGCTAAGGAACACTGGAAAAGGATGAAGGATGGAATCAGACTAGCCCACAGAATGCAACAGATGAGGAACGTCGGATACAACAGATGAGGAAGATTACTAAAGTCTGATGAGAGCGCTCAAGGTTGCGCGACGGGCTAAGTCAAATCGTAAACTGGAAAGAAGGAACTATGAACACCTTAGTCCTGACTTCTGGATGACGAATCTGTGAACACGGAACGCCTGGTTTAGTGTAAGCATAACAGACGTATGGGAGAATAGACTAGATAGATCCCTAACCTGAGAGAACCCAAGAGACGGAAAGTCGCAAACCTTGGGATTGTCGACCACTACGGTAGGCGAGAGACGGATGGCGAAATGGATGGATGGATAGGGTAATTCGGATCGACCACGTGGCGTGACGTGTGGATGAAGCTGTCGTTAGAGGTGACGGTATCCGCTTCAAACGAAAGCTCGGATTCGTCGATATTGTCGCGAAAACAAACTGTACAGACGGAGCACAATCTACTGTAGCCGCCAGGTAGCAGTCCTTGGGATTTGAGTTTGTCAGCGGAGCGCTTCCTGACGAATCACCGCCCTACGTCTCAAAATGAAGTTGGCGGGAAAAAACCTGGACTTTCACTGCCCGAACGCTTTCGCTATTGGCTGGAAGAAAACACTCGAGCAAACCACTTTGTCAGCCCAATTTTCCAACAATCATAAACGCCTATCGTACCCGCCACACGCATTTCCTGGCCGAAACTGAGACGGCACCGCGACCTGACGCCGCAACTAATCCGTGGCTGCGAAGTGTTCACTGTGAGGTCACTCCGACGCTCGTGAATATTTAAACGACTCAAAATCCGGAATACTCAGATCTCCAAACTTTCTTGTTCACAAACGCCTTCATATTTTCTGCTACTTCAGAACCCCCCTTCATTCCTCCCCCCTTCCCCACCTCCCCCCCTCCCCTCTCCCTCCCCCTCTTTCTTCCCCTTTTCCCCCCTTTTCCCCTTCCCCTTCCCCACCGCCAGGTACCAGGAGCGCTCTCCCCAGAGGAATGCGCGGAGTTCATTGCGCAAGGAGAGCGCGTGGGGTTCCAGTGGCAGGGCAGCGGTGGTCCGGCTAAGGGCGAGGCGTATCGAGACAACCACCGGGTATCCGTTGAAGATAACGAGCTGGCTGGTGAGTCATGCAAGAGGAAGAGGCGGGTAGGAAGAAGTCAGGGAGCAGGCAGAAGGGGGGAGAGTGGTAATGCATGTGCGAGTCATAAGGGAAGCCCCAAGGGCGAGGCGTACAGAGACAACCACCGGATATCCGTTGAAGATTACGAGCTGGCGGGTGAGTCAGGGCGGGAGAAAGGAGGAGAGTGGTAGGGTGAGTGACCGAAGCAGCCCTTGTTTCCCCCCCGATTTTTCCAGGCTAAATACCCCTCACAAGCTGGCAACCCGCAAGGCAACGACGCGTCACCCTTTTCTAAACCGCTAAGTTCTCTTTCCTTTTTGTGCTTTCCCTTTCTGTTTTTCCGTTGAACGGGCAGCACACCTGTGGGACCGACTAGCCCCGGTGCTACAGCCGCTACAAGCTGGTAACCGCAAGGCGGTGCGACTGAACCCCAACATGCGCGTGTACCGCTACAGCCGGGGCCAGCAGTTCGGGGCACACATAGATGAGAGCGTGACTGTAGCAGGGAGGGGAAGGACGGAGTATACACTCTTGGTTTACCTCTCTGGTGCTCCTTCCACTTGGGAGGGGCGGGGGGAGGAGGAGGGAGAGGGGTATGGGGAGGGAGGGGAGGAGGTGGGGGAAGGTGAGGTTGGGGCGGAGGGAGATGGGGAGGAAAGTGGTGAGAGGGACGGAGAGGGGACGGCTGGGGAGGGAGTGAGGGAGGGAGATGGAGGGGAGGGGCGGCGGAGGAGAGAGAAGGAAGCAGCAGGAGGTAGAGGGAAGGGTGGAGTCGGGAAGCAGCAACACCAGCATCAGGAACAATTGGTGGGAGGAGAGACGGTATTCTATGTGGGGGCACGGTCACAGAAGAGCTTTGAGGTGAGATTGTGTTGTGTGTGTATGTATATACATATATGTAATAGTAATAATATGTTTATTTTTGATGGGAACACCTTTTTGTTCCGCACTTTTTCCTCCTCCTTCCTTCCCCCATTCCTACAAAAAAACAAGTGGGAACGGTGTTGCTGCAGCAGCACAGCAGGACCTGGCGCTTATTGCATGAGGGCAGGTCATGAGGGCAGGTCATAAAGGCAGGATGAGGCCCTGCATAAATCATTTATGAGATTTCTAAAAAATGGCTTTAACTTGCTGCATGAGGGCAGGTCACAAGAGGTGGGGATGGCGTTGCTGCATCGGCATGAAGGGAGGTGCTGCTACCATGAGCCCCGGGAGGTGAAGGCAGAGATCAAGACATTGTTCATGCCCCTTTCATCTATCTCTATTCCTCGCTCTCCCTTTGTTCATACCCCTTTCATCTACCTCTATTCCTCCCTCTCCCTTACCACTCTTTCCTCAGGTGAGTCCGGAGGTTGGAATGGCATTGCTACACCGGCATGGGGCCAGATGCTTGCTTCATGAAGCCAGGGAGGTGAAGGTTGGAATCAAATATGTGTTACGTTCAGATGTAGTCTTCAAATGATTGGCTGTTGAGTTTACAAGAACTTGGGACAACCCTTCCAATCAAGCTAGTGTACTGTAGCATCCGGGGCGGGACAAGACAAGGCTGACAGCATGGGAAAGATTTCAGCTCAAAACATTTTGACAAGAATACAGCACAAAAATTACTGCAGCAGCTGCTACACTCATACACATCTACACACTATCAGACCTACTTACACAATATACAGAAGTGCACTCATACAGTACCTCTCTTTAACTGCAACAGCTAACTCCGGTCCGTGGTACCACCACCACCTCTGGTATCCATGCCAGTAGAGTCTCACTGAAACACGTGCCTGCGCCCTGTCGTTCCAGCAGTGGTATCAGAGCCGCCAAGTCCGGTGCCCTCTGTGCTGTGCCCCACCTGCGTGGCACCAGTGGTGCCATGATGGCCAGTGGTATGCTCAGTGGTGCCACGGCCAGGGCTATTAATGACACCAGCGCCATGCCCAGTCATCCCAGTGATACCATACCCATGCTCCGCCCTGGTGCCATAATCTCCTCCACTGCTCCTCTCCGCACCATGCCCGGTAGCAGCACCAGTGCCATACTCGTGACCAGTGCCAGTGCCAGCGCCCATCACGCCGTGCTTCTCGTGGCGCGCCTCCTTCTCCGCAGCTTCCCTCTCCATCGCGACCGCGATCTTCCGCTCCTTCTCCAGCTCCGCGTGCTCCTTCCGCTGCGCCTCCTTCGCGTTCGCAATCGCGCGCGCCTCCTTGCTCGTCGGATTGCGCGCCTTGTCCATGCTCTCCTGAACCTCCGCCTTGCCCTTCGCGACGGCCTCGCCGGTCTTCGCGCTGACTTCGGACATCTTCTCCTTGGCCGCGGACATCATGTCGCCCGCCTTCTGCTTCATGCTCGCCATGGTAACCGGGTTACCCGAGAGAGGAATTCGAAGTCGCTGACAATCGGGTGGTTCTTCGGTAGCGTGAGGATGTACGGTATGGGACGATGTGGGTCGTGCTTGTGGAAAAGACGAGAGATTCGGAAGGATGGCCTGGGAGAAAAAGGTGGAGCGGGTTGGATCTTGTACGAATAGGATGATCGAGGAAAGAGAGCGGCATCGTGTCGGGGAGGGATCGAAAGGCCGTGTCGCGCCATGCTCGATAGTGGTGGTTGGTTGTGCGAAAATGTGCGACTCGAGCTTCTACGTCGAGTGCAACTAATGTAGTGAATCCGAACCAGCTGGCACAAATGGAGTGTGACGACAACACGTGGCTCCTAAATAATAATGTGCATGCTGGCATGAAGAATGCGTAGGATGTCATTGTATACTATTAATAGCTAGCGAGGGTGAAGCATCCTGCTATAGCTCAGTTGGTAGAGCGGAGGACTGTAGTTGACCATCCCCTTGACGACGGAGCAGCATTCCTCCTCCTTGCCTTTCCCCGCATGGTCCTCCGCAAGCCTGAAACCGATAGCCTCACCTCACAGAGCAAAGCATGCATTGAACACGCGAACAGATTCGCTAACGGTGACTGGCATGAGATCTTCCAAGAGACACTGACAACATACAGCCCTGCAACACACCCGGTTTCCATCTCATCTGCGCGCTCAACCTCTGATGAAGCACGAGTGCAACGGTGCACTCGTTTTGCCTCAGTCGGAGAATGGTCACGAGCATATGCTGCCCTGCAGGCCGGAGAACTTGCTCCTCCAACAGTTGAGACAGTTGACAGGCTTCAAGCTAAGCACCCTCCCTCTACTCAACCTATACCGTCCTGGGTGGATGCCTTCACCCCCATGGAGGTTCCGCAGCTGCCCCTCGATCTTCTCAAAGATGCTATCCGCACCATGACAAGGGGGGCAGCGGCAGGCCATTCTGGTTGGATGGCCGAGCACCTTCGTGACACCTTCCTTGCCCACCCCACCTACCTCCCCCTCCTCCTTCCTGTGCTCAACAACTGGCTGGCGGGCAAGGCCTCCTCCCGATTCACTCCTTTCCTCACAGCTTCAACTCTCATCGCGCTCAACAAGTCAAACGCCGATGTCCGACCAATAGCAATCGGTGAAGTGCTTGCACGTCTGCTTTCACGCTGTGTAGCGCTGTTGTTCAAGCCGCAAATCCAGTCACAGTTCTTGCCTGACCTGCAGCTAGGCGTCGGTGTCTCGGCTGGCCTTAGCTCGCTTGTCTTCGCTATCCGCTCGTCTCTTGAGCTTCACCCTGAGTGGGCTGTCCTTAATGTCGATGTCGCTAACGCTTTCAATTCTTTTCATCGCGCTGCAATGTTCACAGCCCTTCAAGAGTCCGACTTTTCCTCCTTGATACCTTTCTTCCGCCTTTTCTATGCAAGTCCCTCGCCTCTTCTTTTCCATTCAGGACCCCTCCTTCACACACTTCAGTCACAGCGTGGGGTCCGCCAGGGGGATCCTTGTGGCCCTTTCCTTTACGCTATCACCCAGCAGCTTGCAATCCGTGCCATTCGCAATGCATTCCCTGACATTCTCTGCATGTCATATGCTGACGATTCCTACATCCTAGGGCCCCCGCAGCGTCTTGTAGCAGTCTTTACAGCCTTGCAGCAGCAGTTTGCAGACCTCGGTCTCAGTGTCCAGCCCGCGAAGTGTCAGGTCTGGGCGCCACAGGGATGGCCAGATCCTCTCCAACTCCCCCCTGGAATAGCCCTCCAGGACAAGGGAATCATTGTCGCACGCGTCCCCGTAGGCGAACCCGATTTCATTACATCAGAGCTTCGCAAACGCCTTGCTTCTTTGAGAGTTGCTGCACCATGGCTCACGCGTCTAGAAAACCCGCAGATCGCTGCCCACCTGCTCGCTATGTGCCTGTCCGCCAAACCTTCATACCTTCTCCGCACAGTTCCACCCACAGACGACGTCCTAGAGGCATACACTGACTGGGATGATCACCTTCTCGATACCCTTATCTCCCTCTTCCCTCCTGACACATGGGACCTTGATACGGCGGAAGGTCAGCTAGCACGTTCACAGGCCTTTTTACCGATTCGCTTGGGGGGTCTTGGGATTCAGAGTGCACACAGACACGCGTCGCTTAGCTATGTCTGCAGCTGGGCTGAAGCTATACCAGTCCTAGCTAACAACTGCAGCATTGACGGCGACCATTTCCTTCAGCCCTTCATCGCCAGCGATGCCCTTGACCCTTTGGACCCACAGATTTCACATGCTTTGGCGGCCTTGCCTGACGATCTGCGGCACTTAGTCCCTCCCTGGTCCGCTCTACTCGCTGGTTACCCGAACAGGCTATTTTCTGCCCTAGCACAGCGCATTTCAGCACACGCAGCAGAGCAGCTGCGTTCAGCCGCTACCCAGCACCACCAACTGGTCCGTTTAACTTCCCTTCAGGACCCATCTGCTGGTGCCTGGCTCACCGCTGTCCCTTCTGCTCCTCGTGCCCAACTCGAATCTGTTCTGTTCTGTTCTGTTCTGTTCTGTTCTGTTCTGTTCTGTTCTGTTTTGTGGTTCTGTTCTGCTCTGTTCTGTTCTGTTCTGTTCTGTTCTGTTCTGTTTTGCGGTTTCAAGTTCTGTTCTGTTTCTCTTTTGTGTGTCCTGTTGAAGTTTCCAACCTGTTTCTCCCCACTGTTTTGTAACCACTTATGTTCTCTTTTGCACATCGTTATACTTTCATATCATTCCATCACTTTGTTCTCATCTGTTCTTCACAGCTTTACACTTGCTTCTACTGCTCTAGAACTTCTTGTACATAGTGTACATATATAAGCCCATGTACCTAGGAACTTTGTAAATAAAGTTGGAGGACTGTAGTTGAGCAATCCTTAGGTCACTGGTTCGAATCCGGTTAGCGGGATCGTTTTGCCTTTTCGTTCCCTTACATCGGTTCGGTCCTAAACCCTAAGGGCGTGTGACATTTTCTAATAGTGGTAAAAGTAAAGAAACCGTCCAAAAACGGTTCGGATACCGAATATCGGACGGTCCGAGCCGAGTCCGACGTCCGGACTAGGCCTCGTCTGGACGTTGTTAAAGCTTTTGTATACATTTGAAAGAGGGAGGTTCAAAAGTTTTGAAATTTGAAATATTGGTAACCCTATTACAGCGGGTTCAGTCTCTGAACGAGGGAGGGAGATCTCCCCAACACACAACACTCGCTGGTGATTCAAAACTTTTGGGTTGACAAAAGTATACGAATTCTAGCCTATGTGAGATCTACGCCATTACGCTCTACAGGCAGCATAATACGTAGCTGAGCACATCGCGACTCAACAGCCAGCGCAAATTACCCCCGTTTCCGACACAAACCTAGACGCGTGGGGCAGTTTAGTGTAATTATAGGGATAAACCAACGTCAGTCCCGCCCTCTCACGCGGCGATCCCGCAGGACCTCCTCTCACGGCCTCGCCTCGTCGTCCGTCGTGCCGCCTCACGACGCTGCCTCCTCACGCCACCGTGAACGCGCACGACTCGTCTCAAAATGCCGAACACGATCACAGTCGCGGCCCGATCGCACAGCCTCGCTACCCCGTTTCTGCACTAGCCCCGGCAGCCGCACTTGAATATACGAACGACTGCAGAAACGGGAGCTTCCAACCCCTTCCCGCCTCCTCGTTTCCCTTCTCGCCACCCCAATTCGCGACAGCGCCTCCCCGTTTCCCCTTTCCGCTCCCCAGTACCCCTTCCCGCCTCCCCATATCCCCTTCCCGCTTCCCACCTTCCCCTTCCCGCTCCCCGTTTCCCCTTCCCGCCTCTCCGTTTCCTCTTCCCGCCCGCCCCCTATTACCCCTTCCCGCCTCCCCGTTTCCCCTTTCCGCTCCCCATTACCCCTTCCCGCCTTCCCGTTTCCCCTTCCTGCTTCCCCAATTCCCATTCCAACCTCCCCGTTTCCCCTTCCCGCTCCCGATTTCCCCTTCCCGCTCCCCGTTTCCCCTTCCCGCCTCTCCGTTTCCTCTTCCCGCCTGCCATTACCCCTTCCCGCCCCCCCGTTTCCC